GAAATACAGCGAGATCAAGCAAGTATTTGAATCTTGAAGGCTTCCCTGATTAATACAAAAATACTTAGCTGAGATGTTTATAATTTCAATACTAAACTATAATAAGGTGTATTTATATCTCCAGCATGGGTATGAAATGCCAAATCTGCTGAAATCGGAAACAAATCAGGTATGCGTCTCAACCCAAATAACCATCCGTCACAATGTTGTTTATTCTTGATGACGTAAAGTACATCCTTTTTAGTTCCTAGGAGCTAAAGTTCAACTTTAGCTCCTAGGAACTAAAATTCAACTTTAGCTCCTAGGAACTAAATATGTTGCCTAGCAACATACCTATTTTTGTGTCAGTAATAGAAACGTCAATTTAAGAGCTAATTTTGGTATCAAAATGGACGACTTTTGTGTCGGTTGCAGAAAAAATATCATAATAATATCTAATAGTGATAAAAAATTATGATGAAACACTCATTTTTTTCTTGAAATTTCATCACCCTGTAGCTCAATAACTAAGAGGTTTAAGACATATGTTGATATGAACTGTTCTCTTTGAAATCATCCAAGATTATCGCCCTCGAGGATCAGCATTCAATTATGAAACACCCTGTATAATATACCATAGGAAATTATACAATTAGTGCAGGATATTTCGAGACAAATTTCCAATCTGAGTATATGGATAATAATGAGAGTTTGACAATTCGTGTGCGACCATTTCAAAGAAATTTCGACGACTTCGAAAATTTCTCTGTGAAAATTGGCAGTTGCGGTACCTAGCCTAGCACAGTCAGCGATACGGATTGACAAATTTTTTTCGGGTTTGTTCAAATCGCATACATTTCCCACAAAAAATACGTATATGTATATGAAAATGAATCAAAGGAGTACCTACTCTAAGATTTCTAGATGTATGGAGTGGTATCGGCTCAAAATACCTATCAGATTATACTATCACTCATAATAAAAAAAATTGAATCTACGTACAAAAATTCAAGAGTGTAAAATACTTCATTAATTTGTGTGTGTGAAAATGTAATGAGCACTCGAAAATATCTAAAATAATTGACAAATTGTTCTATGGAACGAAATCCATCGATAGTTTACCTAATTCGGCACTAATCAAGTTGAAATTTGAATACTGGTTATTTTTTTGTAATAAAATTGGATTTTTTGAGTAAAGAGTTCAATAAAAATTCTATTTTTCAATTTGGATGCGCACTGTTAAAAAAAAAGAAGTTTTTTGTTTTGCCGGAAGACGGATCTGGATTCTAAATTTGATTCATATTTAGTATTGATGAGAAATATGAGTGACCTGACCATAGATGAAGATTTTGCCAAAATGAAGATTACGTTCTGTATCACAGTTATTGAAGATGGTAAATTCTTAAAAGATACAGTCTCGAACAGGATCACATAAATCAGAAGAAAGTGAAAATATGCATGTGATCAGAATTCTGAATCTTGAACCACCCTGTATCTGTTCCGATTAAATATCAATAAATAGTGAAACAAAAGTTGAGATAGGGACATATGAGCCGTTTTGACCGATAATGAATATTTTCGACACAAAAAAATCCTAAAGTTGAAAAATATCGATTTTGAACACCCTATATCTATGTAATCATTTTCGATAGACCCCAAGTATGATGCATAGATGAAATCAGCTCTTCAGGGAAAATCTTAAAATGCGATAAAATACAGGGTGTTCCGTTCGAAATATGAATGTTGCTACTACTTTCTAGTAGAAATGGCAACAATGCATTGTCGAACATATCTTAAATGAAATGAGCGTATACCAAAATATAAGCATGCACATTTTCATGGATTTCTCTCGACTGATTCTCGATTTAAATATAGTGTAAGCTTGTGACATACCCTGTACAGGGTAATGAAGTTAAATGAATACAGAGAAATATGAGGAAAAATTGAGAGAATTTGTATGCACTCACCAGCGTGAAAAAAGTGAGGCTTCGATGAAACAACACAAAACACTAGAACAACACTCGATCCCGATATTATTATTATTGAATCGAATGAGGAACACAAAAACACTATATACGAATCAATACGATCACTCAGTTTTTAGGAAACACTCAGTTTGGAACGATAAATAATTCCTTTCGCGTATTTTTCGATGTCGATCACAAAATTCAACCGTACGTGATGACATCTAATATAAGACTGTCTTGATTTACCTAGTCCCGAATGAATGACTAATAAGTTGCATCATCCTGATAGCCGATTAATTTCCGAACACATGATTTATCTATGACTAATGATGATAATGGAATTATACGGGGGGAAATTTTATTAATAATGATGTTGAAATTATACGGGGGGGGAAGATATATAATATTCAAAATATAAGATGAAGTATTGAACACGGATATACTCTGACAGTATTATTTTAGAAAGTCTAGATTGAACACAGGCTGAAAATATAATCTTTCCCAAAATCTCTAGGTATGTTTTTTATTTATTTATTTATTTATTTAAGTAGGCAAGCCTAATATACAAAATATATATATATATGAATTACAAGTCTATGGATATCTTACAACCTTGTTAAGTTACGTAAATATAAATATAAGCAACATATGGGAGTACATTTGAAGAAAATGAAAGTATACATATCAATAGATTGATAGATTGGATCATATCAATTAATCTGAAGGAAGAAAGAAGGAAAGAAGGAATACCAATAAGTATCACAAGGAGCTGTCACTGATGAACTTCTTTAATGATGACTTGAATTGTCTAACTGAACTTGATTCTTTTACAAATTGAGGTAATTTATTGAATTTGTTTAAGCCTTTATGAAACATGCTATTCATCCCAAATTTAGTGTTAGTTTTTTTAATGTAAAAATTGTTATTACTTCTCGTATTATAATCATGAACTTCATTATTTCTTACTAAGAACTTATGAAAGTAACAGGGTAGCAATCCTTTTTGCAGCTTAAATATAAAGATCATAGTCATAAATATTATACGTTCTTCAACTGAGAACCAGTTTAGACACTCTAGCATCAATTTAATTGCTGTGTAACGGCTACATCCCAATATCAACCTCATACCCCGATTTTGAAGCTTTTGCAATTGTGCTATTTTATTTTTGCCCAGTAGAAAAAGTAATGTTGCACAATAATCAAAATGAGGTTGAATTAAACTTTTAAAGAGAGTCAACCTAGCATACATAGACACTTTCTTACATATACGAGAGAAAAAAAAGAGTTTTTTAGATATTTTTTTACAAATATAATCAGCATGACTATTTAGTTTTAAGTTTTTGTCAATTATAAGACCCAAATACTTCATTTCAGTGACATTTTCAATGACAACGTTGATCATATTTATAAGATGATGTCAAAATCATACTTTTTGTTTTGCTGGTATTTAGTTTGAGTTTATTATTAAATAAATATGTATCAATGCTTTTTAATGACCTATTCATCTCAACAATTGCCTGATCCAAGTTTTCATGTACACAATAAACCAATGTATCATCAGCAAAAAGATTTATACAGTGTGATCCAGGAATGTGGTTAATATCGTTCAGATAAATAATAAATAGCAATGGACCTAACACACTACCCTGTGGTATGCCACTCTCTATTATAAGTTCATCTGACAATTCTTTTGATAACTGGAGAGAGTAGGAAAATAATGAACAATGTGGCCTACTTTTTATAAGCGCGCATCCAATTTGACAGTATTTGTGTGTGTGAAAATATAATGAGCACATGAAAATAACTAAAATAATTGATAAATTATTCTACAGAACAAAATCCATCGATAGTTCACCTAATTCAGCTCTAATTTGAGTTGAAATTTGAGGACTGGTTAGTTTTGTTTGAATAAAACTGGATTTTGAATTACGAGTTCAATAAAACTTCTTTTCTTCAAATTGGATGCGCACTGTTAAAAAGTAGACCAATTCATTGATTTTTCCTGCTCTTTGCAGATATCAGAACATATCTACAAAATTGTAATATAGAAAATGTTGTTATTGAAAAAGAAGAAGTTTTATGTTTTGCCTGAAGCCGGATCTGGATTCTAAATTCGATTCCTATTTAGTTTTGATGAGTCGTTCATTTTGATACAAAAATTAGCTCTTAAATTGACGTTTATATTACTGACACATAAATAGGTATGTTGCTAGGCAACATTCAGTTCCTAGGAGCTAACGTTGAACTTTAGTTCCTAGGAGCTAAAGTTGAACTTTGGCTCCTAGGAACTAAAAAGGATGTACTGGACGTCATCAAAAATGGTGACAAGACCAAGTCTATGACGCGGTGTGACGCACCTTGTATTCGTCCAATGAAATGCCATCTATATTTCGCTCGCATTCGAGCTATCGTTTGAATTCAGGTTCAGTTTAATAATTTTTTTCTGGGTCAACCGCAATCGTAAGAAAATTGAAAAAATGCTGAATTCACCCAGTATGTGTTCTAAAACGTGAAAAAAAATTCAAAAAATCATCGTGAAATTCCCTATTATATTCTAATTCTAACGTTCATAATATTTATTGTCAAATTGAAACGATTTCGAATGAAAAAGTGCGGAACGACTATGATGCTATTGTCACAATGAAAGGTGTGTAACTTAATAAATCTAAACATACTGATTAGTCCTTGTGGCTATATTTATGACTAGATCGATTCAGCATTTTTATATTTTTTAGATTTTGTTGTTGTTGTTAGTGTCACCTTATATTATTTTATTATTGTTGTTTGTAATTAACTTCCTCATTCCAGAATTTTATTTCTGACTGGAAGCTAGTTTCTCAATAAACAATAAACAATAAGCCATCCAGTGAATAGTGAAATAGTTATGTACTTCCTTATACCAGAGCCTATTCTGTCTGGAAGTTATTTGTTCAATAAATAAAAAATGAATAAATAAATAATCTGAGAATGATTTCATACAGTGTGGATCAAAATAATATACTAAAATACATCCAAAAAAATTGACATTGAGGTAATGAGATTTCAAATGCTACAGGTGTTTGGTCGCCAAACCTCAGGATCTCGTCAGACCTCACAGTTTGGATAGCACCGACATCGAGTTTATGCAGCGCAGAGGGCTCAGTTTGAGGCGGCGTCCTTGCTCGGAGCTGCGCAATTTTTTGGACAGAGTCGACAGAGCCTTCCACGATAGAGTGAGAGAAAGACTGCACGTCAGAGGCGAAGCTCAGCCTTTGCTGAGGAACACCTGTTTCGAGGACTCGGGCAGCGAGAATGCCACGCCTACAGGTATGTTTCTAAATCATCATCATCATTTCAGGGGTATATATTCAAATGTGGTTAAGTCCATCAAAATGATGGACTCAACCACATTTGTTCCCAAGAACTGGACTTATCAGAGTTTGTTTCTTACTGCTCTTGACTTTGCTATGTTTGTTACTGAACTGATGGGTGAGGGTTATATTCAATAATTTCAATTTATGTTACATATTTTATGAAAAGTGTATTAATGAAATAATTGAAGTTCTTACAAGAAAACAACGAAAATATATTCGAATTCATTAACAAACCTAAAAAAAATTGGAACATTAGATTCAAACAAAAAAATCTCTCAAATATGTAAATGAGATGATGCTTCTTGTGGTTCACAGCATACCACTTCGTCGATATTGCTCTTTGTGTTGGCATCATCAGTAGTATTTTGATTGTTATCGAAAATATTACCTATTCACACAAGATGTGAATATTGTCAACAGAGATCCGGCCCTGGATAACCACCACACTTACCTCGCTTCTTTGGCCATATTCACTTTCCAATTCTCAGGTCGAATTGTCCTTCTCCTTGCTTTATTTTCTGGTACTACACTGGGGTGGACATCCATGATTTCGTATTCACAGGAATTATCTTTTTGAATCAATATTTTTTACAAAAAAACTCTTTGAACCTCCAACATGTTACTGCAGGAATACATTAGCGGCCATTACGGATGCCGCATTTTCATTGGTTGAGATTGACTTTACTTTGTTTGTTTCTGACAGTCATGGACTTTGCTAGTTTTGTTACTTAGTCGTGGATTCAAGATGGAAAATGTTAGCAATTTAGCTGATTTTGTTACTGAATGTCATTTAGAAACGGAAAATATTGCCAAAACAACACAGCTCCGCATAGAACACGATTTTTGACGGATATGGACTTATCTGCTTATTTTTGTGAACCCCTGATTTATTAGTCCCCATGATACCTACTGAGATTTAACACAGTGATTTACCTGAAGTAAGAAAATTCATGGAATTCATTCTTTATCTTGATACCAAATCATTCATTTTGAAGTCACTGATGGTACACAAATCAGTCAAAGAATGTCGAATCAAATAATTACTGTACTCATAAACTAAACAGGAAACCCGTAAAAATGTTTCTATGACTACAATAAACCACCCAAACTGTAGTAAAATACCAAAACGCGTCAATAATCTCAAATTCACTAACCAAAAACGCAAAGCAAAACACTGAATAACTAAAACTAATCCGACTCTGTCTCAAGTTTACGTCAGACCATTGTCGATCTAAATGAAAACCTAGTAGGCGACCTAGTGCGAGGAGCTCTTGCCTACTAACTACCTAACTAGATTGTCATCTAGAACGACAATGGTCAGACAAATTGAAATGTGATTTTTTTTAGAGGTGTACGAAAAACGTTATTGTTATTTCAGATATCCAATTAAGAATAGATAAAAATGATCAATGCGGTTTATTGTCATTAGATCTATGCAAAGCTTTTGATACTGTCAACCATAACATTTTATTAAATAAATTATTTGCAATTGGTGTCAGAGGAAGAATTCATGATTGGTTCAAAAATGATCTATCAAATAGAAAACAATATGTTGAAGTGAGTGGTACTTGTAGCTCCTTAATGAACATCTCATGCGGTGTACCGCAAGGGTCAGTCTTGGGACCAGTTTTATTTTTGATCTACATAAATTCAATATCAAACTTGGAATTGAGAGGAAAACTTAAATTATTTGCAGATGACACGACATTGATTTATTTCTCTAAAGATTCAAATAATATCATCATGGACATGAAAAGTGATTTAGAGAAAATATCCTCTTGGTTACAAGTTCATAAACTATCTCTCAATTATAACAAATCCTCATATATGTACATAGCAAAAAGAACATTGAACATTTCAAATAGAACACTATCCTTCAACAATAAACTCATCAAATATACAGATGTTACAAAATTTTTAGGTCTTTATATTGATGAACGACTATTGTGGAATAAACATATAGATCATTTGAGAAACAAACTTAATCCCATTACAGGCATTTTATTCAAGATACGAAATTTCATTTCTACTAGATACTTGAAGAGTATTAATTTCTCTCTTATTTACTCAAAATTTCAATAATATCTATATGGGGAAGTACCAATATTTCACGTTTGAGTCCACTAATGAAATTACAAAATAAAAAATTGAAGTGTATTTTCAATTTAAATTTTCTCGAACCAACCATGAATTTATACAAACCTAGAGATTTATTAGATCTGACTTCACTATATAAACTCAAAATATGTTGTTTTATTCAATTTGTCCTATATAAATTGAAAAATTCGAATTTAAATTTCAATGAAATCAATTCATTACATAATCATGGAACAAGACAATCAAATTTACTAATAGCAAATACGTTCAAGTCAAATATCGGCAAACAATCCATTTTTCACACAGGAATCGTTCTATACAACTCATTACCAAGTCAATTGAGGAATATACAGGAAGCAACTAGATTCAAAATTAAATTGAAAAAATATCTGCTTCAGAGACTTTGATAATTCCATTTCTTATTAGAATACCTACTTATAAAAGACAAGGTTGATATTGCATGATTATTTGCATTTTTATTTTATTTTTTTTCAATTTTACTTGTTATATCTTATTATAATTTCATAATTGTATGTATAACATTATGTATATTGTTTATGTATCCCTATTATAAACAACTATGTTTCTTGGGGTAATAAAGACAATCAATCAATCAATTATTATGACAGCTGCGACGGAAAGTGCGCAGCCCACCAACTCCTCCAACGTCAAAGTGGAATCGTCCTGCGCCGTATGCCCCTACTGCAAGCACCTCACGCCCGATTTGGACGCCCATTCGACCGCCCACCATCGCGGTTGCGGCGTCCCCTACGGCAGGAGCGCTTGCGGCTGTCACACCGACGGCCATTACGTGCTCTGTCGCAAATGTACCGACAAACATTCGCGAAGTGGCAACCGCGCCGACAATCGATTGCATCTGCAAGCGCCCGACATCGTGTTCGATGCGGAGGATATGACCGAAGCCGATATACAGCTGGTCAGGTTTTCGGCGCCCGATTGCGAGGATGTGGAGAAGATGAAGAGTTATTTCGGTATGAAGGAGCTGAAAGTCGAGTGCATCGGCTTGGATAGGTATGTTATTTTTGTATTCTATTTATTTTGAAAGTTTCATACATGTCAGTATATGATAATAATAGCAGATTGTTTTATTAGGATCAAAAGTGACACTTTGTTTGACAAGCGAATTTTGCATTTGCGAGGCGGAGCGTTTAGCGAAGCCGAGCGAAAGCAAAATTTGCGGGTCGAACAAAGTCACTTTTGATCCGAATGAAACATGCTATTTTTTCTGCAACCGAAACAATTAACTTAAATAAACATGTGAAGTAACCACCAATGCCGTGCCATATGTATACAATGCAACAAATATTGACAAATAATCCATGTGGTGAGAATATTCTACCTGCATTAACAGCAGGTTAGGTTTTCTAGGATGTTCGAATTGTAGTTTCAATATAAATACAACCACAGAGTGACATATTTGTGTATGGACCAGGTGCTCTAATGGCAAATACCGCGCCAGTGCCAGCTATAGGAACAAGAAGTGGAAAATGTTAGGTTAGTGAGCATATCAACAATGATAATTGTGATTATTTATTCCTCTCCATACTACACAGTGTTTGACTCGATAATCAAATGAAGCTAAACAATATCGTTGTTGGAGACAAAAAACTATTGCTTGCCGTGATTATTCAAAAACAAGTTATCCATCCCGAGAATAACGAATGAAATACAGATCAAGCAAGTATTTGAATCTTGAAGGCTTCCCTGATCAAACAAAAATACTCAGCTGAGATGTTTATAATTCCAATACTCAACTATAATAAGGTGTATTTATATCTCCAGCATGGATATGAAACGCCAAATTTGCTGAAATCGGAAACAAATCAGGTATGCGTCTCAACCCAAATAACCAACCGTCACAATGTTGTTTATTCTTGATGACGTCCAGTACTTCCTTTTTAGTTCCTAGGAACTGAATATGTTGCCTAGCAACATACCTATTTTTGTGTCAGTAATAGAAACGTCAATTTAAGAGCTAATTTTGGTATCAAAATGGACGACTTTTGTGTCGGTTGCAGAAAAAAAAATTATTGAATCCTTCACGATCATAAAAAATGACATAGGATACGTCAGACAACAAGAAATTCACACACAATTTATATACAGATACATGAAAATATAACAGAACCATATAGTTACACAGAATATTCAGTCTGTAACCTTTCCTAGTACCTCATTTCATCGATTGAAATATTCGGCGATACTATAAAAACATCCGTTAATCAGAAATTCTTTGAGTTTAATTTTGAAATGATTTTCTGGTCTGTGTACATTTTTTATTTTGTCAGATAAGTGATTATAGAATTTTGCTCCCTTATAAGATAGACAATTTTCATACACACGAGTTGAATGTTTCTGAAGTCTTATCAATTCACCGTGTCTGGTAGGATACCTATGAAAGTCACAGCTTCGATCATAATTCTGCATTTGTTTCCTGAATAATAAAATACATTTGTAAATATAAATGCAAGGTACACACAAGATTTTATTCTCAATCAAGTGTTGCCTACAAGATTCTCTGTAGTCTATTCCATTTATTAGCCGTATGACCCTTTTCTGTGAGACGAAAATTTTGCTGAATTTTGACGAACATCCCTAAATGGCAATATTATAAGAAATATGGGAGTATACAACAGCAAAGTAAAAATTTCGAAGTTGAGCCTTATCGAAATTGGACCTCAATTGTCTAATCCATAGTACCCACTGTTCACTTTCTTACTGACATGATTTATACCCGACTCCCATGTCATGTTACCATCGATAAAAGTACCTAGAAATGTGGTGTTGTCTGATGGTTTAATAATTATTGCATAATAATATAATATAATATTTTGGGATTAAACTGCATCAGAACAGTTTTCTCTATTTACCACTAAAGAGTTTTTACTACACCTATTCGTGAACTCGAAGCTCAAGGTATGAAATTTTTCTTGGAGCTCCTCTGGGTTATTTGCAATTGCTGCAATCGTTGTATCATCTGCATACAAAACTACATAATCTAAGCTTTCTGACGTTTATGCAGAAAACAAACCTTTATTGAACTATTTTTAGTAGGAAAAGTGATTCTTCATTGCGCTAGTACGATGAATTTTTTATTGCGCTCATCTGTCATTTCACTACAGCGTATTTTGACATGACAAACATAAACGTTCAAATCGACGTTATACCATATTCCATTTTCTGAGAGATTGCATTAGCTTTTGAAGAATTGCATATTTCATATTCACAAGGTCTACACGGATACAGCTCAACTTCTGTCCTTTTTTATTTTCTAGATTACAGTGCTTGAATGACTGAAAGAATGGGACATTTATTCTGTTCTTTGTCTTTTTAATTTCCCTAATAGCGCCTGATTGTCAGATACGATTTTAGAGCTTACATTTTTTGCCAAATCAATCATAGCCGTAGTATGTTCAATGTATAGAGATATGGCACTTTTTGGAGAACAACGGTTATAAAAATGAGAAGAATGCATGTAACAAAATTTCAATTTGACAAAATAGACACATGTATATCTCCCGACGCGTTGCGGAGGGAGACAAAAAACTACGTTTTTTTTCTTGTATAATAAATAACCATTTTTTCAAAGAGGGAGGCAATTTATTGTAAATTTTTGTCACCTTTATGATCGACATGTTGTTGCATTAAAGTTGAAGAGAATTTCTCAGTTGATATCCAACAATCAATTTTATTTTTGGTCGCATATTTATTTTCAACATGATTATCCATTTGTAAATGTTTTCTAATGTATATCGTTGATGTTTAATAAAACAATTGATTAACAGGTAAAATGTTACAGGTACGATCCGCTGGGAGCGAACGCAGTGCCCAAAGTTACCGGCGAGAAGGACAAGAAGCAGGAGAGCCGGTCGAAGTTCATCGGCAATCAAGCCATGTCGCTCACTATGGCTCCCGATAGGATTTTGGCGCTCAAACATCTGACAAGCACGATGCACATCTTGCTCTCCCGCACCATCATCCTCAAGGTAGATAAATTATCAATCAATCAACTTTATTATTCCCAAGAAACAACATTTGTTTATAGCAGGGTACATGGTGAATACATAAATATATTTGACATAATAAAATGAAGAAGACAGTAAAATAAGACTCACGCTCAAGAATAAATCTGTTTTTTTCAAGTTCAACTGAAAATGATTCTCAATTGAGTCAGCTAATAGGTACCCAATAAAAAAATATAGTAGTTGTTCAAGAAAACTATAGAAATGAGATGAGATGTTAATATTACAGGAGTAGATGTTTCTTGAATCCTTTTTTTAAATTTTTCAATCCTATAAATCAGCTTCAAGTTATTTGGTAGTGAATCGTATCATTCTATTGTGATAGATGGATTTTTGCCAATATCTGATTTAATTTTCTTGACAGAAAAATTATCTGCTTGTCTAGTTGTATGGTTGTGGTGATTACTATTGATTTGAAGAACCAAATTTGAATGCTTTTGACAATGTTCAACTAGCAGACCTCGCAAACGTTGTTTTGCTACATACAGTATTTCTATAATATATTTTTTCAGTTCAATATTCATCAAGACACTATTATTATTTTATTTTCTACTGCTTTTTAGTTTCGCTATCTATAAAAGCGTGTTTCTTGAGTTTTTCAAACTACCATTTATTTTTCAGTTCACTTGAATTTCTCTATTTTGACAAAAGAATCATAATATCCGACTCCTAAAACCCCAGATGAAAAGTTTGAATAGAATCGGAACATAATTACAAAACTCGTCCGCAATATTGGATCTACCATCTTGAATTCCCTAATTTCGACGAAGGAATTATAATTTTTTATCCCGAAAACGCCCACTTACAAATTTTGAATAGAATCAGTAGATAATTACAAAACTGGTCCGGAATATTGGTTCCACCGTCTTGAATTTCCAAATCCAGCCATTTCCAAATTTTTACAAAAGAATCATAATCTCCGACCTCGAACAGTATTGAACCTCCTAAACTTTTGTATGCTTTCTCAATTAAAATTGATAATTTTTCTCTTCAATTATATCTGCAATATGAATCACCTCACCACAAATTCTTCTATAGGTTCCTTAAATTTCAGGAAGAGGATAAAGTAAGATTATGTTTATTGCACTTTTGCTGGCATTGCTTATGGTCTCTTGAACCCCAGCTGAAATAACTTACTTACCTTGGTACCGGTACTGATGACTTTATTAATATTCACTTACATCAGCAGAGGGCTTCGAATTCATCTCAAATCTGAGTCCCGATGAATAAAAGAGACTGATGGTGATTTTGGTAAATGATGACGGATTATTTTCGTTTTGCTGAAGTTTGATAAACGAGTACATTAGTTTCGTTTGGTAAACGAGGGACCAGAAAAAGTGAGGTTAGGAAATCACAGCAAAGAAAAAGCTCAGAACTTGTTATGATATCGTTCGTGGTTTGTGGTTGTTAAACCACAACTTTGAATTTCACCTACCTCAAACTCTCATTATAACAGATCACAATTTATTATTAATACCTATAATACAAGCACGAGTTATATTCTAGATGCAATTTGCATCAGTGTAGTTTGTGATACCACAAAGTTCTTTAATCGATCCAGATTGTGATGACGCCGAGGTAGCCTCAATTTTGTCACGTTGATAGAACGTGTGATGGAACAAAGTTCTTTAATTGATCCCTTTGTGATGACGCCTGGAATGCCTCCAATTTATCACATTGATAGAACATGTGATGAAACACTGATGTGTAGAAGGAACATGTTATATTTTAGATGCAAGTTGCATACAGGGTGTTTCACAGGTAAAGGGAAATATTTCAATGGTAGATAGGGGTCACCAAGGTGGTTCTGAAAATACCATATTTGATAGGTCTTAGAGTATTCATAACGGAGATACAGGGCGATTTATCGATTTCGAATAATTATTCATTCGTCTATAAGTATCGAACTACCCAGTATATATTTCTAAAATTTGGTATGGAGCTTATACTTGGGACGTTGAATTCATTCACCTATCGGGCGAAGTGAAAATCCAGGTTCGGCTTCAGGAAAAATTTACATTTATTCGAAATATTAAAATAACACACTGTATGTGATAATTGACAGAGTTCATTAAAAGAATCGTGAAGAGGAGAAAAAACTGAACTGGATTTGATGCTTGATGAACAGAAAGCTAAAAGTATGTCAATTCGAAGAGTATTAAAATTATGAAACCACTTTCAATTATGATTATTTGATATATTCTTGTTAAACGATCGTTCGAAAGAACTTACAAAGTCTCACAGTCTTTATGACGGAGATACAGGGTGAATTATCGGTTTCGAATAATTATTCACTCGTCCATAAGTATTAAACTACCCATCGCAGTAATGTTTTCTCAAATTTGGTATTGAGCTTACTTGGAACGATGGATACATCGACCTATCAGGCAGAATGGAAATACAGGTTCAGCTTCAGGAAAAGTCTCATAGTCTTTATAACAGAGATACAGGGTGAATTATCGAATTATAATTATTTGGTATTATTTCCATTCCGCCTGATGGGTTAATGAATCCATCGTCCCAAGTAAGCTACATACCAAATTTGAGAAAATGTTACTGGGTAGTTTAATACTTTATGGACGAGTGATTGATTATTCAAAACCGATAATTCACCCTGCATCTCCGTTATAAAGACTGTGAGACTTAGGTAAGTTCTTTCGAGCGATTTTTTGACTAAAATATATCGAATAATCATAATTGACACTGGTTTCATAATTTCAATACTCTTCAAATTGACATACTTTTAGCTTTCTGTTTATGATTGTTACGATGATAATTGTTTTTTTTTTTTTTTTTTTTTATCGCTTGGAGCGCACGAGAGGGAATCCCTATAATGTTCAAAGAACATCGTGCGTTCCTAGGGAGGATAGGGACAGGAGGTAGGTATTGGAATTTTTTTTGAACTTTTGGAGATTATATGTTGTTGGGAACACTTCCACAGGCAATGAATTCCAGAGCCTAGCCGTTCTATGGATGAAGGAGTCTTGATAAAGTGCTGTTCGACATCTTTCGAGGTTGACAACGAAAGGATGTGCTGACTGGGCTTGTCTAGTTCGTCTGATTGGTATTGCTAGTGAAGGGATGATAGCAGAGATTTCCGAAGAACATTTCCCGTGGAAGTATCGATAGAAAAGTGAAAGGTCGCCGACCTTTCTACGGTGTTCTAATGATGCCAAAGAGTGAGTGAGTGTGGCGTCACCCACCAGGCGAATGGCTCTTCTCTGGATGGAATCTAAGAGCATCAGCGTATGTTTTGGTGCTGAACCCCATATGTGGGAACAGTATTCTAGAACAGGCCGTATCTGCTGCTTTGTAGATCATGAGAAGCTGTTGAGGTGTAAAGTAGCTTTTCGCACGGAACAAGAATCCGAGTTTTTGGAAAGCAGCTTTTGCGATGGATCTGACATGATTATCCCATGAAAGAGTGTTGCTGATGGAAATACCGAGCATAGATATGGTGGGCTTGGTGGGGATGGTGGAGCCAGACATTACAATATCGGGCATACTGGGTTCCGCCTTCCTAGAGAAAATGCAGGCTTGAGTTTTGGTGGCGTTGAATTCAACTAGGTTGTTTGTTCCCCAGGCTGTGATTTCAGCAAGATCTTCATTGACAGCATTGACCTGCCTGCGCCGTGAGGTCTTAGTTTCCTGGGAAGAAATGGGAATTCTGGAAGAGAAAGCAGTATGGAGGGTACTATCATCTGCAAAGCTGTGGATGGGGCAAGTTGTTACTCCCAACAGATCATTGATATGAAGCAGGAATAATGTTGGTGCCAAAATTGATCCTTGTGGAACGCCGGAATTGATGCCAATGGTATCAGACGATACACCGTCCACTACCACGTGAAGCGATCTGCCTGAAAGAAAACTCGATAAGAGATGGCATAGCTGAGGTGGTAAGCCGTATGATGGTAGTTTGTGGAGGAGTCCTTCGTGCCAAACACGGTCGAATGCTTTCGATATGTCCAACGCGACAGCTAGAGATTCCCCGTGTTTTTCTATTGAAGATTGCCATAGATGGGTAACGTAGGCAAGTAGATCTCCAGTAGATCTTCGGTGGCGAAAGCCGTATTGTCTATCATTGATGATTCCTGAGCTCTCCAGATATTTGATAAGCTCAATATTGATGGCTTTCTCCATCACTTTGGAGATTACTGATAACAGGGCAATGGGCCTGTAGTTGTTGGGCAGGTTCTTGTTCCCTTTTTTGGGGATTGGTTGGACTCTAGCTGTCTTCCAGCATGATGGAAAAATACCCGACCTGTACGAGATGGTAAACAACTTGCAGAGAATCGGTGTTAATTCTGGTGCACATTTTTTGAGGATAATGGGTGGAATTCCATCAGGACCGTTAGCTTTATTCGTTTTGAGACCAAGCAAAATTCGTCTGATAGTGCGTTGACGGAAGACGATTTCGGGCATTCGACTCTCAACGGGTGGAATGTCTGGCGGCACTTTTCCTTGGGAATCTAAAGTAGAGTTTGCTGCGAAAATTTCTGCAAAAATATTCGCTTTCTCCTGCGATGTTGTTGCTAATGTGCCGTTGGATTTGGACAGTGGTGGAAATGAACTGTTAGTGAAATTTCTTCCGACCGCTTTAGCAAGGGACCAAAACGAACGGGAGCCATTGGGACAATCTATGAGTTTCGATCTGATCTTGGCATTGTATGTTTCTTTCGAAGCATCTATTGTTTGGCTGCAGTTATTCCTGGCATCAACGTATTCTGCTCTAGTCGCGAGGTTAGGGTTTTTGCGCCAGCGATGGTAGGCTGTTTGTTTCAAGGCAACAGTTCTAGAACAGTTTTTGTTGAACCAGGGTTTCGAAGGTGATGATCTTTTCGAAAAATGAGGTATGTATGTTTCCATTCCGAGCATGATGATCTCGGATATTTCCGCAGCACACTGTGAAGGGTCCTCAGAGTCAAAGCATACTCTATGCCAAGGAAACTCGGAAATTGGTGGCGGGAAAACAAAAAGCATCAAATCCAGTTCAGTTTTTCCTCCTCTTCACGATTCCTTTGATGAACTCTGTCAATTATCACATACAGTGTGTTATTTTAATATTTCGAATAAATGTAAATTTTTCCTGAAGCCGAACCTAGATTTTTACTTCGCCCGATAGGTGAATGAATTCAACTTCCCAAGTATAAGCTCCATACCAAATTTTAGAAAAATTTACTGGGTAGTTCAATACTTATAGACAAATGAATAATTCTTCGAAATCAATAAATCGCCCTGTATCTTCGTCATGAAGACTCTAAGACCTATCAAATATGGTATTTTCAGAACCACCTTGGTGACCCCTATGTACCAGTGAAATATTTCTCTTTATCTGTGGAACACCCTGTATATTTCAGAACGGTGTGATGAAACAAAGTCCTTTGACTGATCTCTTTGAATGTAATTTCTGGACTCCCTGTAGAAGGAATCTTTTGCATGACATGCATTATTTAAGTTTTTGATGCATTCAGGTCCTCTCCTTGCTGTCGATGAGCTCCAACTACGCCACCCTGGTCGATTGCCTCGACAGCATCGGCCTCTCCGACATCACGAAAGTCGTCAGACTGATGACGCTCACCGCCATGAACCGCGTCGAAATCAGCGACGTGAAGAGCGCCCCCGACTTTCCCGACTTCCAGCTGCCCAAGGGCTTCTCCCAACTGATCACGGACGTGCCCAGCGCCGCCAACGCATGCCTGAACTACCTGAGCGTCAGCATAGCCGCCCTGGCTCAGAACGAAGCGAAATCCTCGAATTTAGTGGTATGTAGCATATTTTTCATTATTCCACTCATTACAAAATACTGTCACGAGTAGAACATACGGTATATTAGTAATTTCGAACCATGAGGGTTTTATAAACATAAAGTTAATCAAATCATCCGTTGACATTGAACTATGAATACTGACCAAGGAACTCTCATGAGAAACGAGCAAATCTAATAAAATGATGTATATAAATAGTGGATGTGAGGATTCTGAAGTTAGTCTGGTCTGGGGCTACTCTTGACTTAACAAGAGCTCGTCGTAATGGTCATTATAATGTAAGTTGTTATTGGGTCTTTATATTCATTGTTGTTTATTCATGTTTGTCATTGCGTCCCATAATGTTTCGTGTTATAATAAATATTGTTATCTTTGAATATAGTCTCGTACTTTCAGTTACCCCTTAACTATTAGTAACTATTCGAATATCACCTCTCGCAAACTATTAAGCCAAGCATTAAGGTGGATTCATGCAAGCAAAATTTAAAACTTGAATGAATTTTAAACTTAAATCAATAATATAAAACTATGAAATGTAATATAGGTGCTTATGCAAGAAACTAAGAAATTAAAACTAAAATTAAAACTAAGAAAGATGGCCAACATTCAACTAAGAAATTAATTTCTTCCATAATTGATTGATTGTCTTTATTACCCCAAGAAACATAGTTGTTTATAATAGGGATACATAAACATTATACATAATGTTATACATACAATTATGAAATTATAATAAGATATAACAAGTTAAAAAAAAAATGCAAATAATCATGCAATATCAACCTAGTCTTTTATAAGTAGGTATTCAAATAAGAAATGGAATTATCAAAGTCTCTGAAGCAGATATTTTTTTAAGTTAATTTTGAATCTAGTTGCTTCCTGTATATTCCTCAAATGACTTGGTAATGAGTTGTATAGAACGATTCCTGTGTGAAAAATTGATTGTTTGCCGATATTTGACTTGAACGTATTTGCTATTAGTAAATTTGATTGTCTTGTTCCATGATTATGTAATGAATTGATTTCATTGAAATTTAAATTCGAAATTTTCAATTTATATAGGACAAATTGAATAAAACAACATATTTTAAGTTTATATAGTGATGTCAAATCTAATAAATCTCTAGGTTTGTATAAATTCATGGTTGGTTCGAGAAAATTTAAATTGAAAATACACTTCAATGTTTCATTTCGTAATTTCATTAGTGGACTCAAACGTGAAATATTGGTACTTCCCCATATAGATATTAGGTATTGAAATTTTGAGTAAATAAGAGAGAAATAAATACTCTTCAAGTATCTGGTAGAAATGAAATTTCGTATTTTGAATAAAATGCCTGTAATAGGATTAAGTTTGTTCCTCAAATGATCTATATGTTTATTCCACAATAGTCTTTCATCAATATAAAGACCTAAAAATTTTGTAACATCTGTATATTTGATGAGTTTATTGTTGAAGGATAGTGTTCTATTTGAAATGTTCAATGTTCTTTTTGCTATGTACATATATGAGGATTTGTTATAATTGAGAGATAGTTTATGAACTTGTAACCAAGAGGATATTTTCTCTAAATCACTTTTCATGTCCATGATGATATTATTTGAATCTTTAGAGAAATAAATCAATGTCGTGTCATCTGCAAATAATTTAAGTTTTCCTCTCAATTCCAAGTTTGATATTGATAGCGCATGCACCAAATAATAACTAGCCGCGCTGGAAAAAGATAAAACAGCTGATGAAAGGTTATTGCATGAACACCCATATATTTTTAATTTAAAATTCCTTTAAATCTTAAATTCATTATAATTTAGTTGATGTTGCATGAATCCACCTTTTCTCCTTATAAATTTATTTGGATGGACTAACCATCTACAATATCGTGACAATACACCTTTTTGATTGGTTGAATTATCTGTATTTTGATCGAATACAGGTGTCCGGAAATTATGCGCAAAAAACAAGGGGGTGATTCTGCATGAGAAAACATGAAATTTATTTCATATACACGTGGGTCCGGAAATGCATAGTTTTGAACTTTAAAAAAAAAATTATTTTTATGAATATCTCAAATACCCTTCAACCGATTCTCTTGAAATTTGGCAATGATATTCTTTGTCCTCAGGGGCTGATTTATCCATAATTTAATTGGGATTGTGAAATCCAGTGGCTCCGGGGGCACCCTAGCAAATATTATTGTCAATCAAATGTGCGCCATTGGTTTTTGTGAATTCTATATCTTCATATCAACTATTGACCAACTGAAAATACAACATTTTGGTCTCCTGAGTTATCTTGATATTTCGCTTTGTTTCCGTGGAAAAAAATAAATACCAATTTATTGTATAAATTTGTGCAAAACAAAACGAAAACAGGGGTGAAAATAGCTGTGTGAGACCTCTCTCTCCGTTAGCCCGAAGGAACGGGTTGAAGAACCAGGTCCCAGTATAATATCTCATCACCTCTCAGACTTTGCCAGCTAGTCAATTTCAAATAGAGTAAATTACTCACATTTGGGTAATATATTGTATACTTTGCTGTTGCTCAACCTTGACCAGTTTATCTACGTAACTCGAAGTGCTTATAGATGGCAATGAGTGGTCAAATTGCTAGATGGTACTGTGGGAGCATGTCCTCACTTACTTCCATTCAAATTAACAGTAGGTATACTGACTTGGACGTCCCTGTGGATGTGTACACCTCGGAGGTGGCGTGCAACCACTCTTATTAATTCCGGCAGGAGACGATCCTTTTGCTAAATGAAAAAAAAAGAAGGCAAGTCTAGTGGAATGCAAGCATAGTCCATCTCAGCAATTGATCAGATAATACCAATTAACATAAACTTTTGCTACTGAGACTTGGTTGCGCAGTGACGAGGGTTTGATTACTTTTTGCTAATTCACTCAACTTCACATCTTTCATTTGCATTGTAAAAAGATGCGTGGTCAATAAATACTCTCGATTTATACTCGATTTTCATTTCTTTTCTACCTTCACAGAACTCTATCCACGAACTTATAATAAAAAAATACACAACGTGGGAACATGTTTGAGAGGTGTCAACTTGAATTTCGATACTTCTTGAACATGATAAATACTAGACTGAATACTAGACGATCACATGAGATATGGTTATAGTTCCATATTTAGACAACACCGGGGTGGGTATGGTTACAACCTACCTATCACCTATCCCGTGTCTACTATTTCTATTCTACAAAGTTTTTAATTACGACAAAATTATTATGATGTATGTCAAATTCCTTTATTTGTCAAACATTCCACCACGCATTCGATGTTCTGAGACCGAATGGCCAGTGCCACCAGGATGATAAGAAATTCCACAGAATAGTCAAGAAAACGGCGATTCTGTCCCAATAGTGACACTAGCAATGTCAATGGGTTGCGTGCAAGAACTGTCAGATGACCGACGCTGGAGGCACAACATTGAAACACAACCTCACTTTTCTTATTTCTTTACAAGTGATCGAAATAGTTTTTCACAATTATTTTGTCATACGAATCGTATTTTTCCGCTATTCATCAATTCGCTCATGCCATCACATTGTGCTGTTGTAAAATGCACAAAAACTGCAGCGGAAGATCAAGGAATCCGGATGGTACATTATGATTTAAAAGTAAGTACCTACTATAGTCACTCACCTATAGCTTTCATTTTTGAAATTTGGTAATTTCTCTGATTTCTCATCGGAATTCCTTCTGCGATAGGAGCTAATAGAAATACACCTGTAAAATAATGCAAGAAGATTGGATTCATGCAATCAATCGGGAGGACTGGTCTGATCGTGTGTGTTGTAGACATTTTCAATCTATTAGCAGTATTAGCTTGTATTGCAGGAGTGGCAGAAGGCAGGAGGAATTTTAATAAGGAATGACAACATTTCATAATGATAACTATGTGAGATTACTATTTACCTGAAAAATCATATTCTTTAGTCTCTTGCTGCATTTTTTGTGCATTGTACAACAGCACAATGCGAAGGCATGCTTGAATTAATGAATAGCACAAAAAACACGATTCGTATGCCAAAATATTGTGAAAAACTATTTCAATCCTTTGATTCCTCTGTAACCAAATAAAAAAGTGAGGTTGTGTTTCAATAATTTATAGAAGAATGAGGTTGTGTTTCAATATTTTGCCCCCAGGGTCGGTCATCGTGCACGCGACCTATGAAACACAACTAATGTTAACCCTCATTGCTACAGGTGGACATGTGCACCAAAGACCTCATCATGTCCGCTTTCGGGGTGTCGGTCCCCAAGTCGGGCTTCGCCGTCACCCGAGCCCTGGTGAACATTCTCTCCACCCACGGGGGCTGTTCGTTGATGGAGGTGGCCAAAGAGGACGTCTCCCCTGAGCAGAACGACGTGGGGCCGTTGACGTTGGTCAATGCGCTGTCCGCGTTTATTTTGTCCAATAAGGTGGAGCAGAGCAGCAAGCAATGGGCCGCTCAGCAGCTGTTCAAGTGTTTGGCGACCAAAATACAGATGATGTCGAGTGAGTAAAGAGATTCCTTTTCGAGCTAGATGAGTTTGGAAGGTGTTCGGATGGGTATGCCTCGAGGTTCAGTGCTGGGACCGGTTCTCATTTTGTTGTACATAAATGAATGTGATGTTGATGGGAAGCTTTTTTGGCACGGTAAAGATCTCTTTTCGATGTCATATTGAAATATTTTAAAATTGAAAATAAACATTGACATCAACACTTTTAAATTGAGGAAAAATGCTATCAAATCCCTAATATTATAAATAATGTGAATGTAGGTTTGTTTGTCATGCTTTTACGCCAAAACTACAAAACCGATTATATTGAAACTTTGTATTGTATATTACAGAGGACTTTGGATACTTTTCATTGAAAAAACATTTTTTGTAACGGAAAAACAGTTGAACATTAGATCTCGTTGACAGGTAATAAAATTTCACTTTCAATGAATTACTTTTTTCCCACGGGAAAAATTGAGTCCTTTTTTCCCGGATATATATTTGATGGCTTCTTCCCGAAATATAAGCCAATAACCATGTCTCCGAGAAAGAACAGCAAGTCCTTTTTTCTCCCATTCCACTTCGCGGTTACTAAAATTACTAAACAACCACTAAGTTCTCAGTTTTTTAAATTCAAATCACAGAATGAGACTGACAGATATTTGATTACTTCAAAAGAATGATGAAGATGCCTGCAACGCAGGTTTTATTTCTATTATCTGTTAAGAACTTCAAGTTTTACGTCGATAATTCCCTGAATTTAATATTATGTTATGTCCTGTCCGTTGTCCTCTCAAGGAAAAATATTAGATTTTAGCTCACGGTTTTTTGTCTCCCTCAGCTACGCGTCGGGAGACAACACAACCTCTAGCTAAAATCTACTACTTTTTTCCCTTGTATAATGAATAACTATTTCTCACGGCGGGTTAAAAAAAATATTTTGGCAGACATGTTTGGTGGACACAAAATATCCAACAATTAGACATGACACTCTGTACGTCGGTACCTTAGATATTAATGATTAGAATACGTCTTCCGGGACTCGTAACTCTCGGATTATTCAGGCGATGAAAAAAAACTACAAATATCTAACCTAACATCAAGTAGGCACTTCGAAGGGGCAAATTCATTACTGCATGGGAGACACCCTTCACCTGTTTTGCTATTAAGTTCTGCGCATCCAAAATGCACGAATTCAATACTACCTGAATTGGTACATCTAGAGACAGGGCGCTACAAATAATTCAATCTTTACGCAACAAAGCTGATGAGCTAAATATATTTCTGGAACAGCAAAATTTGCCTGATGTTGTCCTTTTGACAGAACATTGGCTCAAAGTTGATGAACCAATTTATATGCCTGGTTATTTTATCATGTCAAAATATTGCAGGATAAACTCAATGCACGGAGGAACTTTGATAATGATTAAAACAGAGTTCTTGAAAACTTTTACTTTTGCGAACATTAACAGATATGACGATTTGATTGTGGAAAAAGAATTTGAATTTTCAATAATTCATTCACAACATAGTAATGTCTATATAGTGTGTGTCTATAGGCCACCTTCATCAGAGCATAACATATTCATGGAAAGACTGGAATATTTATTAGCAAAATTGCCCCCCTTCGCATCAAAAATTTTAGCTGGAGACTTCAATATACATTATGAAAACAAAACATGCAATAAAACCCAAACACTCACTAACTTGTTAGACTGCTTTAATCTAGTTATGCATGTAGATAGTCCCACCCGTATATCTAATTATTCATCGAGTATTATAGATTACGTCTGTACAAACATCGAGGATGTATCGACCTCAGTAATTAATCCAGGTCTATCTGATCACGAAGCAGTTTTCTGTATCATCCCCAACATTCTTAAAGATGCAACCATTAACCAGGGCAAACAGTATGGACGAATATATAGCAGAAAAAACTATGCACATTTTCTGAATCTCTGTCAAGCCACATATTGGGATTCTATAAATGAAACAGAAGATCCAGTTAACGAATTTCAGAAACTTGTTTGTGAAAATTTCGATAAAGCATTTCCGCTGCGCTTGTTGAAACGGAAAAAATCCAAACTCTGGTTCACGAAAGGACTAAAAATTTCCTCAAAAAATCTAAGATGCCTGCATACCATTAGAAAATTTCATAGTGACAATATATTTTTTATTTCATACTTCAATAACTTTCGTCGTATTTACAGACAAACTATCAAATTAGCCAAAGATCTCTATTATACTGACCGACTGAATCAGGCAGGTAATAAACCAAAGGAAATGTGGACAATAATAAACGACTTGAGAGGTAATAAAAAACAAAATCAACCGGAAGTAAAGATCAACTTAAATCATTTGAATGAATATTATTGTTCAGTAGCATCAAAAATAACCAAAGATATCATACCAATAGTAGATCCACTTCATAATTTGAACAAGATGAGCTCTCCTATGGACTCCCTTTTTTTGTATGATACATATTTGAGTGAACTTAAATCTGTGATAATAGAAATCAAAAATAAAAACTCTGCTGGTGAAGACAACCTCTCAGCAAAGCTGCTCTTTCAATTGCCGGATGAAGCTCTTGAAGCCTTAGTAACAGCTATAAATACATCGTTTACCACTGGTGTGTTTCCTTCACACTTAAAATCTGCGAAAGTGTTACCAATCCACAAAGGAGGTGCCATTGATGACCCTAGTAATTACAGACCGATCTCAATTCTATCAACGTTATCAAAAATCATCGAAAAACTAGTCAAACGCAGGATGGTGGGCTTTTTGGAAAAGCACAAGATTTTAACTCCCGTACAATTTGGTTTCCAATATGATAAAAATACGACAGATGCCATTTTTAATTTACTTGAAAACATTTACACAACTCTAAACGACAAGGAAGTGGCTGCGGCAGTATTTCTGGACTTTTCTAAGGCGTTTGATTGTGTGTGTCATGAGATCCTCCTGCAGAAACTTTTCCATTATGGATTTCGGGGAACAACATTAGAATGGTTCAGATCTTATCTCACTGGTAGAAGCCAAAAAATATCTCTGAACAATAATACTTCCAAAAGTGGAAAAATAGTAAACGGAGTTCCTCAAGGGTCAGTCTTGGGCCCAATTTTATTCTTGCTGTATGTTAACGATCTGGCTAAATTGGATATATCTGGAACATTCACCTTATTTGCGGATGACACCACGGTATTTTGGCGTAATGGAGATCCGGCCATTTTGACTCGAACAATACACTCTGATTTAGAAAAAATAAAAAATTGGTGTGAATCGAATATGTTGTCGCTGAATTTTTCTAAAACAAATCTGGTCACATTTAAGTGGGATTTGGATCAGGTAACTTTAGGTTGTCAGACGGTTGAAAGTAAGCTTGTAACGAAATTCCTCGGTATATTTATTGATAGTAATTTGAAGTTTGACACACAAATTAATGCACTGAAAAAGAAATTGTCTTCTGGTTGCTTTCCGGTGAATGTCATATCTCGTGAACTCGGATTTTCAGCTTCAATGACCGCATACTATTCACTCATGGAGAGTCATCTTAGGTATGGAATTCCATTTTGGGGCTCTGCCTGCCAGGTTTTATTGCAAAGTATATTCGTCATTCAAAAAAGAGCTATGAGAATAATATTCAAAAAGAGGATTCGCGACTCGTGTAGGCCAATTTTCTGCAAATATAAAATACCAACAATATTCGAAATTTTTATTATAGAGACTGTTTGCTTGCTCCACTGAAGTAGCCGTTATGGATGTTATTTCAGATATCCAATTACGAATAGATAAAAATGATCAATGCGGTTTATTGTCATTAGATCTATGCAAAGCTTTCGATACTGTCAACCATAACATTTTATTAAATAAATTATTTGCAATTGGTGTCAGAGGAAGAATTCATGATTGGTTCAAAAATTATCTATCAAATAGAAAACAATATGTTGAAGTGAGTGGTACTTGTAGCTCCTTAATGAACATCTCATGCGGTGTACCGCAAGGGTCAGTCTTGGGACCAGTTTTATTTTTGATCTACATAAATTCAATATCAAACTTGGAATTGAGAGGAAAACTTAAATTATTTGCAGATGACACGACATTGATTTATTTCTCTAAAGATTCAAATAATATTATCATGGACATGAAAAGTGATTTAGAGAAAATATCCTCTTGGTTACAAGTTCATAAACTATCTCTCAATTATAACAAATCCTCATATATGTACATAGCAAAAAGAACATTGAACATTTCAGATAGAACACTATCCTTCAACAATAAACTCATCAAATATACAGATGTTACAAAATTTTTAGGTCTTTATATTGATGAACGACTATTGTGGAATAAACATATAGATCATTTGAGGAACAAACTTAATCCTATTACAGGCATTTTATTCAAAATACGAAATTTCATTTCTACCAGATACTTGAAGAGTATTTATTTCTCTCTTATTTACTCAAAATTTCAATACCTAATATCTATATGGGGAAGTACCAATATTTCACGTTTGAGTCCACTAATGAAATTACAAAATAAAACATTGAAGTGTGTTTTCAATTTAAATTTTCTCGAACCAACCATGAATTTATACAAACCTAGAGATTTATTAGATCTGACATCACTATATAAACTTAAAATATGTTGTTTTATTCAATTTGTCCTATATAAATTGAAAATTTCGAATTTAAATTTCAATGAAATCAATTCATTACATAATCATGGAACAAGACAATCAAATTTACTAATAGCAAATACGTTCAAGTCAAATATCGGCAAACAATCAATTTTTCACACAGGAATCGTTCTATACAACTCATTACCAAGTCAATTGAGGAATATACAGGAAGCAACTAGATTCAAAATTAACTTAAAAAAATATCTGCTTCAGAGACTTTGATAATCCCATTTCTTATTTGAATACCTATTTATAAAAGACTAGGTTGATATTGCATGATTATTTGCATTTTTTTTTTTTTTAACTTGTTATATCTTATTATAATTTCATAATTGTATGTATAACATTATGTATATTGTTTATGTATCCCTATTATAAACAACTATGTTTCTTGGGGTAATAAAGACAATCAATCAAAGAAAAGTTCTTGAATCGAGCAGAAAGGCATACACGAAAGGAGATGATACTTGTCCTTCCACTCCCCACATCAACTTTGACCAAGCATTCTCAAATCTATAGAAGTAGACAGATATATAATCATTTACCGAAACAAATAACAGCAATCAATGATCAGAAGCAATTTAGGAAATCGGTAAAAAACCTTTTGATGGGAAAGTGCTTTTATAGTTTGGAAGAGTATTTTGCATCTAATTTCTAGTCTTTCTATATAAATGTTACTATCTACATCAAGATTTTAATAAACTGTAGTTGTGAAAGCACGTGTGTACCGTACCGTATTATACCCTTTGTGTAAATATTTTTTTAGTCTTGTTTCTTTTACAATAGTTTGTGTTTTATATATATGTTATACCTTTGTCGACGAAATGTAATACATTTTAGACAATAAAGATTATTCTCTCTCTCTCTAATCCATGCGGAATTGGAATCATGCTGTACTGAAATTCATTTTAACTTCAGTCGTAGTAAATTATTTCAACAAAGCATATTTTCAGATTTTGAAATATTTCATTGCATGTTGTAATTTGTAGTTTCTGAATCATATTGATTAGTTTTATAGGAATGTAATGAACTTTAATATTTATTTAAGGGATTTAACGCGAGCACACCGCGGGTAAAAACTAGTAGGTACAGTCGTCTTCAGAGATCATGTCGCACATGGACGGTGTCAACTCTCTTAATCACCGCTGCAATAAGAGCGCTCATACCGTCCAACCACGACATGTTAACTGAAGACGAGTGTACATTTATATGTAGTTTTTTTTATATATGGTAGCCAGAGAGGATGTGAGAGACGTTAGGTGTAGGTTGTTGATTCGTTTTCTTTGATCTATTACAATTTGTGTTGATCATTTTCCTTCAATTTGAAAGTGTTTTTGAAGTTGAATGACGTGTATAATTTCATTTTCGGTATGAGTGGTGTGAATTTCAAGTTGTAAAGATATAAAAACATAGCAAACCCTTCATTGTTAAGGTATGGTCAAAACAGCCTTTGGAACTCTTGGCACGAAGCAAAAGGAGTTCTAAAGTTTAAATGAGTGTTATTTATTTTTAGGTGTGACTTCGGATCAAGTGAACTTTGCAGACTTATCCTGCTCCATGCCAAAACTGAAAACAACCTACCTAAAAGGGCACGATTACAAAGTTTCGACTCTGGCTTGGCACGAGAAGAGTCAGTTGTTAGCTTCTGCTGGCTATGATGGCACGGTAGATATATAGCTCTAGTTCATTAATTTTCGTTCACGAAATCAGTATCTCTCAAATCAAGGTATTCAGAAGAATATCATGAGAAACACAGTCAAAAACTTTGGAAGAGTCAATGAACAATCGCCAATCTACCTGTTTATCGTCAAGTGTTCTCGATATACTATTCGAAAATTCAGAAAGAAAGTGCCTTGTGTCAGTACAATAATTATTCTTTGTGGAACCCTATCCTAATGATAGGATGAGCAGATTTCCAGAATTCATTGAACACATATTTTTTACTTTTTTCGTGCGATCAAAATTCGGCTCCTCCACCATTTTCATGACGTACTACTCAGAAAAGCCATGTTTGCACAGTTAAATATGCGAGCCGCTTCACGCTAGTACAGTGTTGCAAGATTTATCGGTATATCTAATGATTCGGAAATGTTCGCTCTCACATCATAGTTAGCTGGTACCTGAAATGACGTATTCAGATTATTTCTCAAAATTATATACCGAATAACTGATGAAATAGGAATTATAGACCAAACATAGATATTAGAATAGCATAATGATTGACGATTATAAAATTTTGGGTATATACAAAATAACAATGATGCTGACAACTCGTTTCTGAGGTTGATCATTCTAATGAGAATTTCTGTTGAAAGGTTGAAGAGATATTTTGATTTCTCCAACTCAAGTCTGGCAACAGTGATTGTAAACCTGATTTACACCGTACTGAGATATATTTTGTTCACATTTTTGTTGATAGTTCGAGGTTAGACCATACTGACAGCTCTCTTTTTGGTCTCATTTTCGGGGATATTGGCGTGAAGGAAATAAGTCAAGAAACTCATCATAGACAAATATCCTAGAATGTCACTAGATATAGGTAGAGTTCCTAAATGTACTTGACACTGCTATTTTGTCTAGTGTCCGTAGAGTACGGACACTAGACAAGCAGTGACAATCAAACATAACCATCACAAACGACATTGAAGCAGATCCTATAGGTCGCGTGCAAGAACTGTCAGATGACCGACCCTGGAGGCAAAACATATTTGTTTACAAGTGATCCAAATAGTTTTCCACAATTATTTTGGCATATGAATCGTATTTTTCCGCTATTCATCAATTCGCTAATGCCATCACATTGTGCTGTTGTAAAATGCACAAGAACTGCAGCGGAAGATGAAGAAATCCGGATGGTACATTATGATTCAAAAGTAAGTACCTACTATAGTCACTCACATAGTTTCCATTCTTGAAATTTGGTTATTTCTCTGATTTCTCATCGGAATTCCTTCTGCAATAGGATCAGCTAATAGAAATATACCTGAAATTCCTAAAATAATGCAAGAAGATTGGATTCATGCAATCAATCGGGAGGACTGGTCTGACATGCTGACGATCGTGTGTGTTGTAGACATTTTCAATCTATTAGCAGCATTAGCTTGTATTGCAGAAGTGGCAGAAGGCAGAAGGAATTTTAATAAGGAATGACAACATTTCATAATGCTAACTATGTGAGATTACTATTTACCTGAAAAATCATATTCCCTAGTCTCTTGCTGCATATTTTGTGCATTGTACAACAGCACAATGCGAAGGCATGCTTGAATTAATGAATAACGCAAGAAACACGATTCGTATGCCAAAATATTGTGAAAAACTATTTCAACCTTTTGATTCCTCTGTAACCAAATAAAAAAGTGAGGTTGTGTTTCAATAATTCACAGAAGAATGAGGTTGTGTTTCAATATTTTGCCTCCAGGGTCGGTCTTCGTGCACGCGACCTATACAAAAACCGTCAACAGCAGTGTCAAGTACATTTAATCTAGGTATCACGTCATAGTCTGCTTCATTAATAATTATATAATTAGAATAGCCATTTCGGACATCAGAAACCTATTATCAGTTAGTACTAGTAGTAGAATAATAATTCTATGATGATTCGTTCGAGGCAAACCCCCTCGTTCATCTGACGGGCGACTTCCTCCTTAGGTGCGCGTATGGGCCATCGAAAAGAACAAACAACCCCACATGGACACCATCATCGACTCAGACCCGCCCGTCGAGCTGCAGGGCAGACCGATATGCCACCTGAAGTGGTCGCCCACCGGCCGCTTCTTGGCCGCCGCCAACGAAAATCTCCTCGACGTTTGGCCCATGAAGAAGTGGGAGGATGGTGATCGGTATGATGGCGATCGGTTCATCGAGGATCAGAAGGAGGCGGTGACGGGGATGACGTGGCCGAGAATGCGGGGTGAGGAGGGACAGGAGCGGGATTATTTGTTGGTCGGGCGGGCGGACGGATCGGTGTCGATGATCGTTATTCAAGATGGGAACAGGTGAGTTGAGGGTTTCGGGGGGTTTTTGTCTTTTTATTCATTTCAAACTATTTTATGTGATTATTCCACTCTTGTTCTCGACAACCAATCATAATCGACCATTTTCACGGTTTATCCTGTACAGCGATATTTTTTGTTCATGTATCATGCTTGCTCTACCAATACAGAAGTCGAATTGACCCACATGTCCCCCACCAACCTCGTTTTCAGCGATAAAATCCTTGAGATTCAAAAGTCCCTCTGCAGCAAAATCAATCTCTTCACATATCTTCAATATTTTTCTACTTTAGGATATTTTTGTGACGAAACTATTCATCATTGGTCAAAACGTCTTACATGTCCCTGTCATAACTCTTGATTTACTACCTACTGACATTTAGTTGGAACAAATACATGGTGGTTCAAGATTCAGAATTCTGATCACCCCTGTATCTATCACAACACGCAACACTAATTTCGTCGCACCCCAAAATTTTGTCCCTGTTAAAATATGAATAACTTTTTTCTGCTTTGAACAATTTGAATTCGGCTAGCCTAGTCTTTCAGCTATAATCTCGTACTTTTTTTAAAACATGAGGTTCTTCATATAAAATTTCTACTGGGTGTCACCTGAACCTGTGAAAAATTTCGGAATTTTCAAATGGATCCCAAATGAACAAAACACTTTTTTTTTTAATTCGACAGCAGAGGCATGAATATGATCTCATTACCTAGGGACATTTTTCGAATTGTCTTATCTCCTTTAGTTACAAAGTGATCTCAAAAAATTAACTTTCTGGTTTTGCAGTCATAACTTCTTTCCTTGTCAACCCGTTTTTAAAATATCATTTTGAAGCTGAAACTCCAGAAGAAGAGATATGAAGATCAGAATTGACTCAAGATGAACATTATACTTCTGTCTCACTTCTAATGGAGGCACCCCCGTATCTCACGTGATTATTGAGGTTCTGAAATTTGTAGGAGGAAGCGAAAGGGACGTCCTGATTACGAATCCGAAGTGATATTCAACCTATCTTGCCTCCTTTTATCATTTTTGTGGATGGTTCCATGACTGTTGGCGAGCAGTGTATATCACTGGAGACGAATCCACTTGGTCATAGTGTGTATTTTCAGTATATCTACCCCTCTTGCAAATTTCAGAATCCCAACTCAACAATTACGAAAGATACACGAGTGCATCAATTAGATGAAGTCAATTCTGATCTTCTTATCATAGTCTAAGATCCGAACCTAAATCGACCTTCACCGAGCTGATAATAGAACGAAATATATTTTATCATGAATTTAGTATATTAGAAAACATATTAAAAATGGGTTGGCTAAAAAAATCCTGGGCAGACTATTTTTAATTATTTTTCGAAAAATTATTTTTAATTAAATGTTGCAACATCAGGATAATAAAAAAATTGTGTCCTGACTGAAAGTATAAAACGTATAGAATGTGGGTTGTCTACTATTTACCTGGGCGAACTACTGGGTTGTCAGGTAAACACAGGTATATCGATGCCAGTTACTTTCACTGGATTGGATAATTTAAAAAAAATTATATCATCATAAGCGCTGTTTAATTGCGAACACGTTGATATAGGGTTGTCTGCGAAAATTCCGGTCCTATTAGGGGTTTGCGAATTTTAAAGATTTTAATTTCAACGCGCGTGGAAGTGTGTGACAGAGAGATCCGAGGTAAGTATACTGTGTAATAATAAAGGACCCAACATCGCAGTCGCTTGTGATGGGACCCTGAATAGTAGAAAGTGTGCGAAGTGTGCGAAGTCAAATCCTGAAAACTATGGTTGGCATTTTGATGATTTCTTAAAACCAACAGGTTTTATCGGAGATCAAACTCCTTTGAAAATAAAAGACATTGTCGAAATGGAAGCAAATGAGGAAGAATCTAATGAATCAGACGAATTCGAGAGTCAAAATGATACTTCTGATGAATCAGATATTGAATAGAAAATATTTATTAGAATTTATTTTTCATTAATATTATTTTTGTATTTATACTGTTTTTTAATAAAATTTTAAATCGTGATACAAGATGTCTAGTCTATCTTTTTTGTTATTTCTTAATTTAAATTTTTGGCGGTCCACTTTGTTTCTATTTCCAGAAAGAGCAAAAAAATTTCAAAGTAAGTATTTGATATTTTTATTGTCTATTATAGATTATAGATATATCATTATGGTTATAACGCAATATATTAATATTATATTGTTTTTATATATTATTATTATATTAAATATATTTAATTATTATGTAATTAATTAATTATTTTTTTTTGCTACTGAAATATCAGTTGCTCCAAAATAACACGCACTGTTTACTATATGAAGGGTAGTAGAGGTACCTCTACCCTCCATAGTTTACACACCGAGCATGCGCACTTTCTACTATTCAGGGTCCCATCACAAGCGACTGCGATGTTGGGTCCTTTATTATTACACAGTATACTTACCTCGGATCTCTCTGTCACACACTTCCACGCGCGTTGAAATTAAAATCTTTAAAATTCGCAAACCCCTAATAGGACCGGAATTTTCGCAGACAACCCTATATCAACGTGTTCGCAATTAAACAGCGCTTATGATGATATAAATTTTTTTAAATTATCCAATCCAGTGAAAGTAACTGGCATCGATATACCTGTGTTTACCTGACAACCCAGTAGTTCGCCCAGGTAAATAGTAGACAACCCAACGGCTGCACATTCTATACGTTTTATACTTTCAGTCAGGACACAATTTTTTTTTTATCCTGATGTTGCAACATTTAATTAAAAATAATTTTTCGAAAAATAATTAAAAATAGTCTGCCCAGGATTTTTTTAGCCAACCCATTTTTAATATGTTTTCTAATATACTAAATTCATGATAAAATATATTTCGTTCTATTATCAGCTCGGTGAAGGTCGATGTAGGTTCGGATCTTCTACTATCACTTCATCTGAAGTTTAAGCTTCAAAATGAGCCTGAGATTTCAAAAATCGGTTAACGAGGAAAAAAGTTATGACTGCAAAATCAAAAAGTTAATTTTTTGAGATCACTCTGTAAATGAAAGAGATAAGGAGACAATTCGAGAACTGTCCCCAAGATAATGAGATCATCTACATGCCTCTACTGTCAAAGTTGAAAAAACAAGTTTTTCTTCATATGAGATACTTTTGTAATGTCCGAAATTTTGCACAGTTTCAGGTAACACGCTGTAGAGATTTTATGTGAAGAACCTTATGTTTTAAAGCATTACGAGATTATAGCTGAAGGCTGGGCTAGCGAACAGTGTGATCCGAATTCAAATCGTTCAAAGCAGAAAAAAGTTATTCATATTTCAACAGAGGCAAAACTTTGGGGTGCGACGAATTTAGTGTTGCGTAGTTTAGAACTCAAAAAGGTGTGGTAGTGACAGAAATGTCAGCTTCAATGTCCAATTCCAGCATCAGAAATGATCCCTACAAAGGTTGTTTCCCCTTCCAGGCAAATCGAAGTGTTGCAAAACTTTTGTTCGTCGAGAGCCGTCACGCACGTCGATTGGCATCACGAGAAGAGACCGTTCGCCGTCGCCTATCAAGATGGCACCGTCAAATTGGGGTGGGTCGGCAAGGAAGAGGATGCCGTCAGCTGTCAGGCGCACGACAACACGATAACGGCGCTGCGGTGGGACCCGGCCGGCGTGCTGCTAGCTTCGGCTTCGATCGACATGACATGCAAAATTTGGAAGGAAAATGATGGACAGGTATGATTTTGTAAGAACTGCACTAACGATAAGATTTCCACGAAATTCTCAAACACACGACATGTTTCGCTAACACAGTAGCTTCATCTGGTGATATACTGGTACAATATTTATTTATTTATTTCAGTTATTGCATTACATTCTCTTCTTCATTGATACATTTCATACAAATAATATATAAAGTATAATTAATTTTCTAGTAGGAATGACATGAATGATCAGACAGTAATTCCTGGTATAAGATCATTCATGAAGTATTATCGACTGTTGTATAATTGAAATTACAAATAGTAAACAAAACTTACATATCATTAAGATACAGTCATATTATAGTTAACAAGAAGGGGAAAAATAAAAACATTGAAAAAAAAAGAAAAAAGGAAATTCATAGTCTTTCAGCTTTGATCATGCCTTTGCATATAAATATATTTCTTAACTTTATTTTTGAATTGCATAATATTTGGGCTGTTTTTGATATCAATGAACTAAACTAATCTTGGCTTGCCTTACTTTTATATATCCTACTTTTCCAACCTGAAGGATTAGTTACTTGTGGATAGGTTCGATATACCTTCATTTAAATTAGGCACAATATCTACATTAAAATACGGTGTACCGGATTAACTTGGAAGGGTTGATAGCAAATACCTACTAAGAAAACAAATTCAACAGTGGTGAACTATTGAGGTCTAGTTAATCGTTGAGTAACATGTCAGAATTTTTAAGTTTGTTGATTTCTAATGACTCAAAATGATTTGAGTTTTAGTCCTTTATTCTCTACGTGTAGAATTTCGAAATAATCATAAAAACTATGGTTTTCTTCTAATATATGGTTGACGTTTACTCAAAAAAATTCTGACATTCTACTTAACGATCAACTAGACTTCAATAGTTCACCACTGTTGAATTTGTTATCTTAGTAGGTAATAATATGTAATTGCTATGAACCCTTCCATTATCGAATCTGTCCACAGGTAACTAATCCTTCAGGTTGGGAAAGTCGGATATATAAAAATTAGGCAAAAATTACCTGATGATCAAAAGTTGCACAAATGTCAGCCAATTCAAAATCAAAGACAAGAAACATATCCTCTTGCAAAGAGAAAATCAAACCTTAGTGAATGATTTCACATTCACTAATTTATTTCATCATGTCATAATGTACTTTTCGTGAGCTTTTTGTTTTATCATTATTATTTTTGAATCTGTTGTTTATTTCAATAACTATAATTTGATTTAATAACGCATGAATAATCTCACACCAGATATGAATCTGTCTGATTATTAATGTTATTTTATTGTAAATTTTGATAAATATATTTATATTTATATGAGATGCAATGTAATGTTTATAGCAAAGAATGAAATAAATAATATTATTATATTGTCACGATATAATAGATGATGTCACGATATATTAGATGGTTTAGTCCATCCATATCGATATAAAGGGATAAGCTTGGCTTATTAGTTTGCGAGAAGTAATATTCGAATAGGCACTAATAGTTCAGGGGTAACTGAAAGTATGACACTATATTCAAACATAACAATATTTATTGAAGCATGAAACATTATGGGTAGCAATGAGAAATATGAATAAACAACAATGAATATTAAGACTCAATAACAACTTACATTATAAAGACCATCACGACGAGCTCTTGTCAAGTCAAGAGTAGCCCCAGACCAGACTAACTTCGGAACCCTCACATCCAATATTTATATACATCAATTTATTAGATTCGCACGTTTCTCATGAGAGTTCCTTGGTCAGTTTTCATAATTCAATGTCAACGGATGATTTGATCAACTTTATGTTTATAAAACCCTCATGGTTCGAAATTACTAATATACCGTATGTTCTACTCGTGACAATATTACTTCTTTTCTTCGAAGGTATCGCTGCTACACGTCCTCGTCCAATCCCGTTCGCCGGTCAGCGTGACGTGGTCGCCGCGCATCGGCCGCACCGCCACGCCGCTGCTCATCGCCATCGGCACCGCCCGGGGCAGCGTGTGCGCGTGGCGGCTGCCCACCGAGCAGGGCCGCCCGCCGCCCGAGCTGGTGTTGAACGTGCGCGGGCACTCGACGGACGCCAGCGTTTCTGCGTTGTGCATCGATGATAAGGGGATGATGTTGGCGAGCGGCGGGGGAGACGAGCAAGGCGGGGTGGTGAACGTGTGGTCGCTGCATGATGGTAGTCTGCTGTATACCCTTACAGGTGAGGATCGGATTGTCAGGGGTAGATGTCCTAAATGTACAGGGTCATTCCGTATATTTAAACAGCTTCTACAGGATTTATCATTGAAGATAGAGATATTCGAGGTTGAACATTTTAGATTTTACCAAATCGCAACTGCCATGAGTCAGTCGAGCGCTGAAGTCCATTTATACCTACTTCCGTATGTCTTGGAGAACCTTTATTATTCATCCCAACTGAAATCAGCTGTTATTGTTACCATATCATTTGTTCATTTATTAATAACTCATTACCTACCACTCTTGTACAAGTTAAATTGTTCAATAGGAAATAAAAGTATGTTTCATTGGTTGAAATTTATCAGTTTTTACCACATTCTGAACTTTTGTGATAAAAAAATATTCAATTGAACGTATATATATACCTACTCATTTCATAGGAATAGTATATGTATTTCGTTGGTATATATGTACATACCAACTTGATATCGACCTCCATGAGGTCCTTCAGCCTTATCATTCAATATTTCGAGAAGAAATAATTTTCTAATCAATTTATCGTACCCTTTTACCCACTCGATGAGACGCTATGCACTCTCATACAAAAATCAAAGACAGAGAAAGATATATGGATGCACTCTTCTTAGGACTTGTGAAGGATGGAAGATGCGAGGATCCTTTATCTAAGCGAAAAACATATTCTTGTCCTTGTCTTGCAAAACATATGATTTGCTTCAAAATCGTTTGTGGTTATGTTTGATTGTTACTGCTTGTCAAGTGTCCGTACTCTAATATACAAAGAACGTCAAAACTGCAGTGTCAAGTACATTTAGGAACTCTAGTCAGGGGTAGAGTGCCTCTAACATCTCATTTCACGCCCTTCAAAGAGTGTGGACACACTTATCATGTTGTTAAACAGCTGTACCAAGCCCATATTACTTCATATTTGTAATATTATCATAAGATAGATGGGTTAGTAAGTTGTTGGATACGCGCAATTTGATGAAACTGTCGGAGTAGATGGGAGCAATTGATGAGCGCTCGTGGTTCTGGATTATTCCGGATGTATCTAGGCGAAGAAGCTGACCAATAGGAACGCAGAGTAAAGACTATTTTGGCGCTGAGTTTGCTGAGTAGGTCTGAAAGGCAGACGGTTGCTACCATCCATTGAGTAAACTTTGTGGTCACCGTTCCCGAATAACTTCAACAAGTTGACGTCTAGATTTGAGATTATTTTCAATATTTGTTCAAGTTTTCGATCAATCATATTTTGTAGCGTACAAATTTTCTGATGGTTTCCAAAAATAATCCTCTCACCAATCGAAGGACCTATCACTGAGAAATATAAATTTGATGAGCAGCTTGCGTTCACGCCTGAACAAAGAATATGAGACACCAATATTTTTTTTATGTTCTGGTTCCCACGAAAAGGGATATCCTGTAATGTTCAGAGAATATCGTGAGAACCAAGGGAAATAAGGTAGGAATTGGTGTTCTTCTTAAATTTCTGGAGGTTATATGCCTCGGGGAACACCTCATTAATCTGTAATTTCACAATCATTAACGATATCACTAATAAGTTATAACTTGATATTCTCGTTCATTCATTTATGCACCTGAATTGAATTTTATCTTTCATTAACTATTCGTTAAGAGATGACCAACTTTTTTCTCTTAACGACAAATACAAATCAAACTGTGACTTGCGCAGGCGCAATACATGCAATACTGTCAGAAGTCAGAGAAACAATTTCTTCCTCTTCTTTTTCCAAATTGTGATTGGAAATTCTGAAAATACTAGTCGTTTGTTCAAATTAGACTTCGAAAACAATATGAATGAATGATTCTCATTGTATTTATGTGATCACCGAATGTTATAACAAAAATATTTTCATCAGGCTAAGTACGTTGAGGACTAAGTTTGGATCGAGAAGAAGAGTTTAAAATTAGAAGAAGGTGGTGCATAAAGGTATCATAATCCTTAAATAAAAATGAACTCAATGGCGGTTAATGAAAGCAACAGATTAGTGAAAAAGCGGTGTGCATAAATCCAATTTAACAATTCTTGGCCTTTCTTGATCCATAAATCCTCGAACATTTTTAGGTATCGAAAGTGTCAACGCTCACAGCATTTGTTGGCTGGACGATTGCCTCTCGGTGGCCTTCTCCCGATCGAAGCCCGTCTGCCTGGTGGAATTGGGCGAGGAGGAGATGGGGCGGCGTGCTGCCCTCGCCGCCGTCCGATGCGGCTTGATCAAGAAAGGCGTGCGCGGTCTGAAGGCGGCGCCGTTCTTCAAAATGTTGGCCACCCTGCTGCCCGACATCGTCGTCGGTCAGTACGAGGCGGAGAAGTTGGGAGTGCAGACCGGCTCGCACTTGATGCATTCGGTAAGGACGGTCGTTGTTTGTTGGAGAAACGGATAGGTCGTTGGGCTTAGAGTCACTGGATGGTATTAGTCAGATAAGAGTTCGGATATTGGTTGAATTGGTTTATAATTAGAATAATAGCTTGAGAAGAAACAGTGGACTGTATTTTGAATAGGTACTTGATTGAAGACCGCGGAGTTCTTTATGACGTTCATAAAATGTATCGTCAAATTCAAACAATTCTGAATGAAAAAGCGCGGGACGACTCGAACTCTTATCTAATAGCGAATTCCATTGGTAAAACTGGCTCGCACTGAGTGCATATTTTGTATTCCATTGGTAAAACTGGTGTCGGATTTTGAATTCCATTGGAAAACTGGTTCGCATAGTTTAGAGCTCAGTGCAACAATTCTCGCACGAGCTCTAATAGGTCGTGCGAAGTCAGTGCAGTTTTGAAAATGGCGGAAACATTGAATATGCATGGTTTAAAAACCAAAAATGAGTGGCAATCTAATCATCATCATCAAGTAGTGATGAAAATTTGGAGGTTTCAAGAAAATAAGAGAGATTACTTCCCAGAATTCATAATTTTGTTGAGTGTTTTGCACTATAATTCAATGATGAAGAGGTACTTATTAAAAAAACTACTCAAAATTATTTCCATGGAACATCTACTTTGTTCTTAATTGAATTTGAGAAAGAATTTCAGGATGCGGACAAGTAATAAACAAAGTCAAACAAATTTATCCGATTTAACCTCCAACAATAAAATTTTATTATATTATTTCGTATTCCATTGGGAATGCACCAGTTCACATTTTGGAGAGAACCAACGTAGTGCGGGTGCAAAACTGGTGCAAAACCAGTGCACCACCAGGTTTACGAATGGAATTCGCTATAACAAATACCATCTAGTGACTCTAGTTGGGCTGAAGTGATTCGTTCGTACGAATCCGTTTTGCCCAAACATATGCATAGGCGACTCCTATAGACCAATCAGAGCAATCCAAAAGAAGCGCCTTCGTGTTGACAAACGTCTATAGACGTTAAATTCAGAATTTCTTTCCACGACCTGTATGATGAAGATCAATTCATCATATTATACTATGATTAATAAAAAGTTAACATGGGACAAGGATATTGGCATGCTCATAGAAAAAAATGACTCCAATAGTTGGTGCCCTAAGAATATGTCCAAAATTTATCCCGAATATAGCAAATGCCGTTCTATACTCTCACATCCTTAGTAAAATGAACTATCTCATAAATATTTGGGATTTATGTCCCAAGAATAATTTCAACAAAATATCTGTACTATATAAAAAAGCATTAAAAGTACTGTATCGTCTTCCACATGACACCCCATCAAATAGACTTTATGAAGAAACAAATACATTTTCTTTGGAAAAGCACTATCTCTCTAAAAATTTCTATTGATATTATCAACAAACACCTCAAATCAAACTTCATATTGGTAAGGAATTCTCGAATCCATGAACATCATACTAGACAATATGACTTGTTTCATCTTGATGCTGCTAATTCAACACTTGGTCAAAAAAATACACTCACGGAGCTATCTCAAAATTCAATAAATTACCTGATGATATCAAAATTTGCACAAATATCACCCAATTCAAAATTAAAGTCAAGAAACATATCCTCTTGCAAAGAGAAAATCAAACCTGAGTGAATGATTTCTCATTCACTAATTTATTTCATCATGTCATAATGTACTTTTCATGAGCTTTTTGTTTTATTATTATTATTTTTGAATCTGTTGTTTATTTCAATAACTTAAATTTAATAACGCATGAATAATCTCATACCAGATATGAATCTGTCTGATTATACAACAAAGAAAAGAATTCTAGTCAAGGACATAATTTACTGATAAATTTTAAAAAATTCTCAGAAATGATTATTTTTTCCACTTTCTTTTCAAATGTATGTACCTATATTTCTGCAGTTTTTAATTTCATCTGGTAGTTTATTGAACTCAGATAAGGCTGCATGAGTGAATCTTTTTTGTCCGAGTATAGAACTAGCAGCATCAAGGTGAAATAAGTTATATTGTCTAGTTTGAAGACTATGAATTTCAAAATTTCTCGTAAGAATAATATTAGATTTCAATTTTTTATTTATGATATTGTATGAAATTTTCAGTCTCTAATCTGTACAGTTCTTATAAAGAATATGTTTTTGTTAAAGCATACAGTTCAGTTGTTGGTGTATCATATGGAAGACAATACAGTACTTTCAATGATTTCCTATATAATGTTGATATTTTATTAAAATTATTTTCAGAACAAGACTTAGTATATGTGAATAGAGTACTATATTTGCAATTTTCATATTGAGTTTGGGACATCTTCCCAATGCACTAATAATTGGAGATATTTTCTTTGTCTGAACCTCAATATGTTTGTCCCACTTCAATTTTTCATCAAACCAAATAACTAAATACTTCATCTGTTCAGTTTATTTCAAGAACGCATCCTTTATTTGAAGATTGAGCTGAATTTTCTGTTTATTTTCTTGTTGAAAAATCATGTGTTTTTCTGGTATTTATTGATAAAAAGTTAGAGTGGAGCCATTTTTCAAATAATTTCAGATCGTTATTTATCACAGTTTCTGAAATTAGAGGATGAATATAAAGCATATACAGTTTTGGTCCTAAAACAGATCCTTGTGGAACACCCTTATTCATTGACAGTTTATGAAACTCAGATAACCTCGATCATTCCTTCCGTCCTTTGAATCCTATGATAATTCATTCGATAGAAACTTCCTCAATCGCGAATCCCATCCTTCAAGGTGTACCTGAAAAGCCTCGCCTCGCTAGTGGTCCTCCTCGACCTCGACAAGATCATCTGCTACAAACCGACCCCCTTCAACGAGAAAACCGCCGGCGAACCGGCGACCGACGCCCACTGGCTGCGCACGTTCAGCGTGGCCGCCCGCACCGCCCACAGTCTGATCAGACGCTGCGAGCTGCCCGAAGAAGTCCTCGGGCAGCATCGAGCGGCCGACGATGAAGAGGAGGAAGATGTGGCACCGTCGGCGATGCAGAACGTGTTTTGGGGGGCGGATCAGGACGGGCAGATTATGCAGTGGGTGGCGCAGCGGCCACAGGATTGGCAGATCGGAGGTATGTCGATGCGTCGATATTTTGAAGAACTACAGCATAGAAACGTGAACGTTGTAACGATTCTCGTTCTCAAAAGAATGAATTAAATTCATTATTCCAGATTTTTTGTGATTTTCTCTCCACGTTTCTATAACTAACACTAGCTTCTCAGTGACAATTTGTATTGAGAAAGGTTTGGAGAAGAGAAATATAGGTATATTGAAAAAATATCAAATCTTTACCTATCTTTGGACGTTTCGGGAACGAATCTGCTGCCGTTTTCAACATAAAAAATGGATTTTTTGTATCGCAAATTCGTATTTGTTCTGACACTTTTCAGTTCTCAGTGACGTTGGCAATCAAATGAGTTACAGGATGTTTTCATTAATCAATCTTGAATTTACCATCTTCATTCTCAGATTTCAATAGTGAATACCATGTTCTATCTATATCAACTGAACAGGAAGCAATGCTATTGTTTCCGTTCAGTAAATTCAAGATTAATTGATGAAAACATCCTGTAACTCATTTGATTGCCAACGTCATCAATTGTCACTGATAACTGAAAAGTGGCAGGTACGCATTTGCGATACAAAAAATCATTTTTTTATATTGAAAACGGGAACAGATTCGTTTCCGAAACGTCCAAAGCTAAGTAAAAATTTCATATTGTTTTTATATACCTTTTCTCTTCTCCAAACTTTTTTCAATACAAATTGTCACTGACAAGCTAGTGGATTTTTTTTAGGCTCTCTGATAGGAAAATTTTTCAAACGCAGTGACAGTTTTGGGCAAATCATCTGATATGTCCTCACTACACGCATATTGAAATAATATTCATATTTTTATTTTATAGAAACGTGGAGAGAAAATCCCAAAAAATCTGGAATAATGAATGTACCACCTCCTCGATTAACCTACAGACAGTATTCAATAAATTAAATATTTATTGATTCCTTAATATCTCATTTCATGCTTATTCCTTTCGTTTCTTCCAGATCTTTTCTCTTCTGTGTACAATCTCTTCATTGCTTCTCTTTCTTTTGCTATCTTACGTTCTTTACGTTCTTTATCACTATTAAAATTTCATGTTCCCTTCCACTTTCCAAAAAATTCCTCTTTTCACTTCCTTCTAGCCCTGTGACAAAAAGGTGTATGAATTCGAAATGCTCATGACATTTTACGTCGGGCCAGATAGCTTTTATTGAAAAATTCAACAAAATCATTGACAGACGCATAGTGGCTGCGCACGGTCAGTGTGGCTGCCCGGAGCGGAGCTCGGGCAGTGTAGGGCGGCCGACGAAAACGAAGAAAAAGAAGAAGAAGTCACTGACAAAATCACTGCTATCCATGCTGAGGAATCCGAATCTATCACATTTTTGTCTAATAGCGAATTTTTAAAATTGCTGAATTTTCAATTGAAAATGTCATGAAGATTCCGAATCTATAAGTATATTTGTCTTGGAACCAACAGATAACGGTAGGACAGGACGAAATTCTTATAGTCTACTCCAACAAAACTATACTTTATTGTGATCAAATTACGGGACATGTTTCGAAGCATTAAAGTGGAGGAATAAATTATGTTCACATATCACAACAAAAATTCAAAAAATTTCTACAGATACAAAGTTGAAAAAATAAAATAGGGGGACCGCAGTTATTACGGATCATCTATTGCCGAATTACTCAATGAAAACTATCCGACCGAACGTGAAATGTCACAAGAAATCCGACTCATTTCACATTTATGTCTTAGATCTGACGCAGAATAAAATTACTCCATTTTCTCCCAGATTTCGAATAATATTACTCAAAATTTCATGTAGAAAAATTCAATAACTTTGCTGAACAAAACCGTATTTTTCATCGATTTCACAGGCAAGTACAAGGCTTACCTGTGGGGCTCCGACAGACACGGCCAACTGGCCGAACTCGGCTACAGCGCCTCCGTGCCCGCGTGTGGAGTCCTTTTCCACTGCCCGCAAGATAGTTTGCGGTCAAAATTGCACGTTCGTCGTGGCCAGCGACAGTTTTTCGGTTAACAGAGTCGCTATTTTTCCTTTCTTTTTTTCATAAGATCAAGTTTCACTTCAGAAAAAAATAAATAAGAGATGAACTTGGCTCCTCCACCATTCCTATGACGTACTTTCTGAAAATCCACATTCACACAGAGTTAAAATACGATTCCCTGTGCCAGTACGACGTTGCCGGCATCATCAATATGTCTAGATTTCCGGAAATTGTTCTTTGAATGCATAATAACTATATCATAACAGCAATGGGATATAATAGGTTCTTCAATCTTACTTTGTCAAGTATTATGAATAATTCCCATAAATCTCTCATTGGCCGAATAAAGTTGATTACTAATAAAGATAAATTATGATATTTCGCTTTAGTATCTATGACTTTTTTCACTATCTACAATATGTTATTCCCAACTAGTCAGTCATTTTTTTGCTATTGAATTCGTTTCTTGATGAAACGGATCTATTTTCTAGGAAAGTTGCAGATTATATCTTGGCAACAGCATTTGATACTTCGAGTCCGTCCACACCTCAAAATACTGACAAGCACAGCAAGAGGAAGGAGCCATGGGTCTCGGCTTCATTCTGTTCTGACCGATGGCAGTAAATTAGGAAAGATAGTGATCAATTGATTCAATGATATTTTCGTTTAGGATCGAGCTCTATTCGAGATATTTCAATGCATAAATAACAAAACCATTACCTGTCAGATTGAAGGCAACTATCTTATGCATTCCTGCTTCGAATGCATTTGTGGTTATGTATGTTTTCGTTTACCAGTTTTACTTCTTCTATTTTCTTCATTCGTTAGCTATTCTCTAGCTATATTCTTCACCATTAGCTATTTTCAGACTAGATCAGAATGTACGTCACACTGTGCTGCCCCAAAAATTAGAAATTGCTTCTGTTTGAAAATGAAAACAACGTGGACTTTATCGGTCGCCATTCTGTACAGCGTGGATATAAAACTGGGGGGTTCAGAACTTATATTATGAAAATTCATCTGAAGGAAACTTCCCCATTTCAAAATTTGTCGAATTTCTCATTGAAAACTATTTGATCGAACGTGAAATGTCATAAGAAATATGAATCATTTCACATTTATGCCTTAGGTTTGACGCAGAACGAAATTACTCCCAGATAACGGACGATATTACTCAAATTTTCATGCATCAAAATTCAATAATTTCAAAACTGCACAGCTAACTTTTTTATCGACTCCACAGGCAAGTACAAAGCGTACCTGTGGGGCTCCGACAGACACGGCCAACTGGCCGAACTCGGCTACAGCGCCTCCGTGCCCGCTTGCGTCGAGTCCTTTTCCACTGCCCGCAAGATAGTTTGCGGCCAAAATTGCACCTTTGTCGTGGCGAGCGACGGTTCGGTGTCGGCGTGCGGCGAGGGCAGCTACGGCCGTCTCGGCCAAGGCAACTCCGACGATTTGCGCACTCTCAGCCCCATCGCCAGTCTGCAGGGATTCGTTATCGTCGATTTGGCCACTGCCGTGGGTTCGGACGGGCACAGTTTGGCCTTGGCCGAGAGCGGGGAGGTGTTCTCGTGGGGGGACGGGGATTACGGTGAGTGGGAGGATTTTTTCGATTATTTCATCTTAGAGTAACTGGATGGTATTAGTTGGAGTCCCTCGATGCAAACTGACGTATTTGTCATCCAACAGGGCACGGACAGATCATCGGGTCGATTCTGTTCGGATCTTGTTATAACAATGCTAAGATAACAATATTGTTATGATTATTAGTTATTTATGTATTAAGGGAATTATGAGGGCCTTAATTACCGATGGCAAAGTTTGCGGACAGCAATTGCCAGAGGTTATTAAGGCTCTATAATTCCCGTGATACATAGATAATTTTATTTCTGACTGATTTCATTCATTAGATACCTTCCCGATTGGAAGTTAGACATGTTTTTCCGTATAGTTTCAATGTCATCAGAACGTCAGATGATGATCTTGACTACCGCGAATAGGAGATTCCTTATTGCTACGTTATTGCGTGGTTGTTGCTATGCAATTCTTATTTAATTTTAGCTATAGGGAATTATAGCATCTATAACATCCCAAGGGAGTTATGACCCTCCTAATTGATAGTATAACTAAGATGATATAAGCTTATAATATACCAGTCAGAAATAAAATATATAACAATATTGCTATGAAGTTCTGTATTCTGTTTGCAGAGTAACTGCAAGATTGATTATAAGTTCAAGTGATAGCAATATTGTTGAACAATTGAGAATTTTTGAGCTGACAACACTGTTTTCAACTCATTTCTCAAGTGTTAGGTATCGATTTTGCCATTTTTTCATGAAGAAGAAGAGTTCATGATTATCTAACCTCTCGAATTAGTCAGTCCTGCACTGACACTTTACAAAATTATATTGTTCAAATTGAGAGATTCTGTATTCGATGAATCTGGTCGTCGTTGTGCGACTGGTGCAAGTAATCAATCATGTTCCCGAAATGAGAAAACAACCTAAAAGCCGGATGAAAATGATCGTGATTTTTTTTTTCGAATATTCTAGCAAAATAGCTTGATAAACTATCCATCAGGCAACTGAAATGGTTTTCTGGTTTCTCTGATATGCCGAAATTGTAGTCTCATATTCCCTCTACAAATTGGAACTTCAAGAAAAAGTTTTCAAGTAGTTGGTCACAGTAGTGAACCTTTCCTATATGTTTGTAACCACCATTCTAAGTTTTTCAATAATTCTTCTACAAATTGAAACTTTGAGGAAAGGTCTTCTAGTAGTCAGTGACACAAGTGAACTCACATATGTTTTCAATCCACTATTTTCTGAATTTTCATACACTTGGAAGAATTTGTAGTGCAAAAACGAAGAATCCACTACCTTGTTATAAGATAGCAAGCACAAAATTAATGTTGCCGAGATAGCAAGAAAGCTGACCAGATGTCATTGAAATTGACAGATCATATTGCCAAAAATCGATGATTAGAATTCCACTTTTTCAAATCTTGCTATGATAGCAATATCTTCTCTACAACCATATTGCTATTTGCAAACAGAATCGACCCGAATAGCTCCTTTCTCTTTTAATCATCTAGTGACTTTGGTCTCGTGTATTGGCGTCCATGACATTGCTGTCGCGTCACATTCATAGGCATTAAAAGATATCTTACAAAATTTCAATTTCATACTTATTACTTATTACGACTTTCCTTTAAAAGTGACCAATTAGCGAAACTCGTGTTGAGGTGTAAAAAATCGGTTTGGTTAGTGGTAAAACAGTGTGTAATGTATTATCGTGCCGAAAGTTTCAGTCATCGATATAACTAGGGACCTTTTTTCCAGAAAAAAAGGATTTACAGTGCCCTTTGAATTACTGAAGTGCATAAAAAATCTTTAGCAACAGTAGACAATATTGATTTGGACTCTTTTTTCTATTTTGCGATTCTCATATGTTTTTTTAAGGGATGCCAAAACATATAGTACAGATGAAACTTTACAACCTAATAACATTTATTGATCCCAAGAAACATATAATGTTTATAGAGGAAAACAAAAAAAAATTAAATATGCAATACAATGAAAGATACACAGTTCAATCAGAATTAATTGATACAAGGAGAGAGTTAAATTGATAAAATATATTTATTCAGTTCACACTTGAATTTTGTGACGAATTTAATAGATTTTATTCTGTTGGGTAGACTATTATAAATATTTATTCCACAAAAATACAATGATTTTTTCCCGAATTGGGTTTTTATTTTGACAGTTTTCAAATGTTCACTTTTTCTGGTGTAATACTCATGTGTATCAGAATTGATATTGAAAGTAAGATTCGAGTGCTTTTTCTTATTTTTAGTGAAACGAATGAATATGCATACTTTCATTTTGAAGAGAGAGTCAATATCTAGTAGATCTCTTGGTTTGTATAGTCTAGATTCTAGATGTTGAATCCAGAAATGGTAGTTTATAAATACATTTTATGGCTTTATTTTGAAGAGATTTGGGAGGTTTCAAAACAGATTTTTCTGCAGTACCCCAGATCGATATCAGATACTGCAATTCAGAGTAAATCAAACTGAAATAAATTAATTTTAAGTATTTAAGAGGTATAAAAGACCTCAATTTGTATTAAATACCAACAATGGGAGATATTTTTTCTCCACCTCAGTCGAAGTTGTAGGAAGGTAGGGGTCAAACTAAAAGAAGACCACTGATTCCAGGCAAACTGGGGCACGGCAACAGCGACCGCCAACGCCGCCCGCGCCAAATCGACGCCCTGCAATTCGAACAAGTGCGATCGGTGGCGTGCGGCTTCAAGCACAGCGCCGTCGTCACCAAGGACGGCAAGCTGTTCACGTTCGGCAACGGCGACTACGGGCGGCTCGGCCTCGGCTCCACCGCCAACAAGAAGCTGCCCGAGCGCGTGACGGCGCTGGAGGGGCATCACGTGGGGCAGGCGGCGTGCGGTCTCAATCATACGGTGTGCGTTTCGGAGGACGGGATGCTGGTGTGGACGTTCGGCGAGGGGGATTACGGCAAGTTGGGGTTGGGGCATACGACGACCAAGTCGGTGCCGCAGCTGGTCGAGACCATGTGCAATGTGGGCGTTAAGAAGGTTAGTGTTTTTATCTACAACTATGGAACTCAATTTTCAACGACAGACATTATTGTGTTGAATCGAGTAATAAGAGTAATAATGACAATAGGATGGCGTAATAATCTGACATCCCATCGTCTTGTCAAATTCAACTAATAGGTATTCGTTCTACTAGTTCTACTGAAGCACACCACTATACTACTGTTTGTGAAAAACACGCAAATTTGAAGTTCTGGAATGAGGAAGAACATAATTATAAAATAATAAGTAATAAATATCTATGAACTACTACACAAACATGAGTAGAAGTGAACATGAATAATAAATCATAATAAATCAGGATATCACAATAAATCACAATAAAACAATACAATCAATGAACAACAAAGAAAAGCATTCTAGTCAAGGACATAACTTACTGATAAATTTTGAACATTTCTCTCAGAAATTATCATTTTTTTCCACTTTCTTTTTAAATGTACCTATATTTCTGCAATTTCTGCAATTTTCATCTGGTAGTTTATTGAACTCAGATAAGGCTACATGAGGTGAAATAAGTTATATTATCTAGTATGATGAATATGAATTTCGAAATTTCTTGTCAAAATAATATTAGATTTAAATTTTTTATTTATGATATTGTATGAAATTTTCAGAGTCTTTAATCTGTACAGTTCTTCTAAAGAATATTTTTTGTTAAACCATACAGTTCAGTTGTTGGTGTATCATATGGAAGGCAATGGTTAGACTATATGAAGGCCATAGGGGAAAAAGGGGTAAAGTCACAAATGTAAGTTTCGAGAAAACGCATTTCAATGTTTAAAACCTTACTTTTTGCAAGTTGGAGGAAACTGAAATCCAACCACCTGGACTAATTTGATGGAGTATAATGAGCAATAAAGTTGAACAACCAGAAATAAAAATCATATTTGAGTAAAAAAATCATCGAAAACAAAAAATAAGTCCAAAGATTCAAAGGAAAATTAGGAAATGTCCAAATAAATTGTCAAAAAACTGGATTGTTTACTCGCAATAATTATCTGGTCTGGTACATTTCTCCATTCTTGCCTGACTACCTAATGAGCGGTAAGTTGTCATATAGTACATCTAGCATCTCTATAATTCGATCATTTTCTATGAATTCCACGCGATATGTGTAGGAATCATCATGTAGCAATCTCATTATTTTATTCCAATCACCTAGACGTACTCGACAAGCCCAGTCAGCACACCTTCTTGTCGTCAACCTCGAAATATGTCGAACATTTGCCCAAACTCGTTAATACATAGAACAGCAAAGCTTTGGAATTTTTTGCCAGAAAAAATCCCAATACCTACCTCCTCTTCCTATCCCCCCCTAGGTACCCACGATGTTCCACGAACATACTAGGGATTCGCTTTCGTACGCTCCAAGAGATGATAGAAAGGTGACTGTATCTCTTTTTTTCTCATCTTTTGTTTGCCTGGGAGTTCACTTTGACCTTTTGACAGTGTGAAAAAAACACCTATTGAAATCACAATGGAATCTGTATTCAAGCATGCACTAAGCTTTCCGTTTCCCTTTCTTCACATTTTTGAAGTGGACATTCCGAGTTTTTTCCATGTGAACGTAATTTCGAACGAGCATATTAGCTGACTATGATGCGTTATTGCTATGGACTTCTGTTTATACTGAAATATACTGGTTTGGCCATCAGATGGCGGTGTCAAGTCAATTACTACTAAATTTATTTATTTTATTTATTTCAGTTATTGCATTACATTCTCTTCTTCATTGATACATTTCATACAAATAATATATAAAGTATAATTAATTTTCTAGTAGGAATGACATGAATGATCAGACAGTAATTCCTGGTATAAGATCATTCATGAAGTATTATCGACTATTGTATAATTGAAATTACAAATAGTGAACAAAACTTACATATCATCAAGATATCTCAAAATAACAGTCATATTATAGTGAACAAGAAGGGGAAAAATAAAAACAGTGAAAAAAAAAGGAAATTCATAGTCTTTCAGCTTTGATCATTCCTTTGCATATAAATATATTTCTTCACTTTATTTTTGAATTGCATAATATTTGGGCTGTTCTTGTTATCATCTGGTAATTTATTGAATTTCGAAATCGCCTCATGTGTAAACTTTTTTAGCCCAAGTTTAGAATTTGCAGCTTCAAGATGAAACAAGTTATATTGTCTAGTGTGATGATCATGAATTTCGGAATTCCTGATTAATATAAAATTTGATTTAAGCTTTTTGTTGATGATATAATAGGAAATTTTTAGAGTACTGATTAAAAAGTGCTCTTCCAAAGAAAATGTGTTTGTTTCCTTATACAGTTGATTCTTTGGAGTATCATATGGAAGACGATACAATACTTTCAATGCCTTTTTATATAGTACTGAAATTTTGTTGAAACTATTTTTGGAACAAGATCCCCAAATATTTATGAGATAGTTAAATTATTTTAGAACAAGATTCTCAAACATTTATTGAATAGTTGATTTGACGCTATCAGAAATAATTTTCCCCAGGTGGGCTGCGGCACCAATCTGACCGTCTTCCTCACCCGCCAAGGCAAAGTGTACGTGTGCGGCATCGACAGAGTGCCCTGGCAGACCAACGCCAGAGACCGGTCGGATTACCGGCCGCAACTCCTCACCGGCCTGGCCGATTACATAGTGGAAGATTTCGCCGTCGGTACGGAGCACGTTCTTCTTCTCACCGCGTGCGGCAAAGTGCTGGGCTGGGGTATGAACACCGAGGGTCAGCTGGGGTTGCCGCACGTGTCGCTGGTTAGGGAGCCGGAGGTCATCGCCGAGTTGTCCAATAAGGTATGTAGCGATACTGATATATAGAGTAACATACAACCTTCCAATTTCACCCTTTTCATTTCTGGATTTGGCTTATCACCAGCCCACCAATACTGCACTGGAGCTAAATATTTCGGATCACTATCGGCCTTGTGGTACCTACGCCAGTAGAGCGTCGAAAAAGTCTGTTCACTTTTTTCACGAAATTGTCGTTCTTCGTGGTCCTAGTATTGTTCTAAAATTGCTCTATCCGTCATTCAGTTGCCCCCTTACGAGCAACCCTCAGAAGTCTTCGAGAGTCTTGTGCGAGCAAGGAATGACGGGGGCCTTACCTTTTAACGTGTGATCCCAAACACTTTTTTGGGCCATCAGAATAATTTCTGCAGTCGATGGGAATTGAACCCACGACCGGAAAGCGAATGTGAATTAGAATATTGACACTGTCCGCACGGCTACCTGGCCCTCCAAGTATATCTCGATTCATTGCGTATCAGAGAGTGTCACCTACGATTATTAATTCCTTTTATACCTAGCGAAGTGTCTGATATTGAATAGAATTTTGTGGTTTCCAACTGCGCTGAAATACATTTATTTGAGTAGCAGTGTGCCTGATCTGTCAGGTGAGTTGATGCTATTAACATCTTCATAACAATTAAGTACTGGACTCTACTAAGTTGCTATTTTTCTTTCGTTTAATTGTAAATCAGTCCCGCGACAAAATTTAAAGTTTTATCTGTCAGTTTGCAGATACCTAGCAAGTTTGGGAAAAATAAAGCTCGTTCGTCTGACTCGGCTCGTTTCTTTGCCGCGACTTTATACAGTTTCACCGCAGGTAGGAGGATTTAATATTCATTTATTTTTACCGGGCGGTCCATTTAAGACTATCCATCCTCCATATCTCCCAGAATTGTCATTTTACAAAAAAATTACGAAACAGGTCGATTTTCATAAGGAGGGGGACATCTTTTGACGCGAAATAAATAATCCATACTTCAACCCTCTACTCCCCAGAGCAACCCTCTTAATAATTTGAATAGGAACTGAGGGTCGTGTTATACATCATTGCGAAGGTAATTCCCACGAGTCGTTCTCGAGATATTCGAGTTCAAATGTTATGTTTTCCAATTGCGAGTAATTGCATGTATGGAATGAATTATCGAATGGTTATCCACAACAAATGTTCAAAATTACCTTCATTGACTTCCAGACAGTGGTAGAATCTATTTGTAATTTCCTTTCACACATTTGAAATGTTTCTCTAGTTATTGCCTGGTATTCAACCCAATTTTTTCTTTACTTATCGTCCAGATCATAGTAGATTCCGTTTCATGAATGTCCGGCAATAATTTCATGTGTACTGGACATGAAGTTGGTTATGTGATGAAAATCCATGTATCACAAAACTTGTTCGTATCTTAGGGCATCAGACAGATCAGCACCGGCAGAACGCACAGCGCCGCCTGGACCGCCCCCAGCCTGCCCCCGAAACTACCCGGCACGCAGCCGGCTGCCCTCACCTTCGCCCTGCCTGCCCAAATCCCGCCCCAGTACGACCGCCTACAGGGCGTCCCGATCAAATCGATCCGCGCCCGCCTCAAGTTCCTCTACGACTTCTCGGACAAACTGTACTCGTGCTGGCCGTTGCTGCCGCTCGGCGGGCAGCAGGCCGAGATGCACGTGCCGCCGTTAGAGGGCGTCGTGTCGCCCAAGTTGCGGCCGCTGTTGGCGCCCAGGGTGTACACGTTGCCGTTCGTGAGGTGCATCGGGAAGACGATGGTGCAGGGGAAGAATTACGGGCCGCAGATTACGGTTAGGAGGATATCGCAGGAAGGTAGGACGATTTCATTTTAATAATATTGTCAGCTAAGTTCAAATCACCCCGTTGAATCAATTAATTCATTATTCATTCATTTCGTAAAACAATTGAATTTTTTTTCAAAAAGACGTTCTCTCGTTCGAAGTATTTAACTGAAACAACAAGATATTATGTCATCCTTCACTTCATGTCAAGGATATTCTATATTAAACATTTTTTTTTATATTTGACACCATTTGCCTCGTTTTTTTCCCATCCACTGTTCGACTATCCAAGCCTAGCAGTGTTGTAAATATTTTACTTTCGAAAGGCATTTCAAACTACTTCCTTAACTATGAGGATATCAATAATTCGACAAAGGTGACCCGCATTCAATTGCAGGTCCTTCATTTTCATAAATCAATTTTTAATATGTAAATTGCATTTTTGGTGTTTCATCATGTGAAATATTTTTCCCCAGAACAGGTGAGGATTGTTTGAATTTCATTATCTGAATGTTTGTCTGACGTAGCTTTTTGTCTTTCTTATAGTGGTACTTACTGTAACAAATAATTTTGGCTGATGATGAAGCTTTAAAGCTTCGAAACATGTCCCTATTCCAATGTTAAATAAAGTATAGTTTTGGTGGAGTTTATTGTTCATTGAGAAACTAGCTTCCAGTCAGAAATAAAATTCTGGTATGAGGAAGTTGATTACAAACAACAATAATAAAATAACATAAGGTGACAACAACAAAAAAATCTAAAAAAATTAAAAAATGCTAAACCGATCAAGTCATAAAAATAGCCACAGGGACTAATCAGTAGATGGCAAAGTATCAGTTTTTATCCATTTCGTAATAAAATCATGTGTTTTTTTAATTCAATTTAAAATTTTGAAATGTGTGCAATTCTTTATATTATGTGGTAATTTATTGAATTCAGCTAGAGCAGCGTGAGTAAATTTTGTTTGGCCAATTATAGAAGTAGTAGAATCAAGATGAAATATGTTTAACTGTCTCGTGTAATGACCATGAATTTCTGAGTTTCTTATCAAAACAAGATTGGATTTCAGATTATTGTTTATGAAATTATATGAAACTTCAAGAGAATCTAGTTTATATTATTCATCCAATGAAATTTTTTGTTATCGCATACAGATCATTTCTTGGGATATCAAATGAGAGGCGATACAATACTTTCAGTGATTTCTTATAAAGTGCAGATATTTTACGATATTTAAGATCCCCAAACGTTTATCATATAGGTAATACGACTGAGTATATGAGAATGAAGTACTATGTTTATGGTTTTTTTGCCAAGTTTATGACATCTTCGCAAAGCTCCGATGATTGGAGATATTTTTTGTATCAGAACCTCAAAATGCTTGTCCCACTTCAATTTTTCATCAATCCACATACCAAGATACTTTATTTGTTTAGTTCTTTTCGATACTTCATTTTTAATTTGGAGATTGAGACTAATATTCTGTTTATTTTTCTGATGGAATATTATATATTCCGTTTTATTGATATTAATTGATGAAATGTTTGAATAAAGCCATTTTTCAAATTTTTTCAATCTTCGTTAATAATATTTTCTAGAATGATGCGGTTTTTGTTTTCTTATAGAAGTACAGTAATATCTGCATATATAGTATAATTATTCTTTGAATATATAATAAATACAAGATGGGCCCTAAAACAGATCCCTGTGGAGCACCTTTACTTATTGGTAGTTTATTAGACTCTGACATATTACATTTAGTGCTGATTGTCCTATTCGCAAAATAAGATTCTAAAAGATTTTTAACAATGCCTCTGAGTCCCATCGATTGCAAGTATTCTAAGAGATTCTTATGGTCAACTGTATCGAATGCCTTCATAAGATCGGTGAAGGAATGCCCCCTCCTAGAGATGCCGGGGGACAGTGTCACTCCTGTCATTAGGTTCAGCAAAAGGCCTCAGTCAATTATCCCGAAAAGGGAGGACTGGGAGCAGTTCGGGCACCGCCTGATCCCTACTACTGGAATCATTTGGTACACAGATGGCTCCAGGATGGAGGGATCGGCAGGAGCTGGGGTATAAGGGCAATCTCCGAAAGCGGAACTCTGTTACGCCCTGGGGAACTTTGCTACAGTGTTTCAGGCAGAGTTTTTTGCCATTCTCGCCTGTGTTAGAGAAAATATCAACAGAGGCTACCATGGCCAGCTGATCACGATATGCTCCGACAGCCAGGCGGCAATCAAGGCCCTCACATCATACAGGGTCAGTTCGCTGTTGGTGTCGGAGTGTATTGATGAGCTTCAAAGGCTATCCGCAGCCAATAAGGTGAAACTCCTTTGGGTCCCAGGACACAAGGGAATTCCCGGTAATGAAAGGGCCGACTCCCTGGCTAGACAAGGAGCAAATAGCTCAGCCATTGGACCAGAACCAATCTTAGGAGTTTCCAGATCCTGGAGCGTCTCAACCATGATGAGAAGCTTGGAAACGAAATTCCAGGAGGTATGGAGAGAGACTCCAGGCATGAGAAAATCGAAACTCCATATCGAAGGCCCTTCTATCAGAAGAACCAAAACGTTGCTCACATTGAGCAGAAAAGAAATAAGAATAGTGGTAGGGCTCCTCACGGGTCACTGCTATCTAAACAGGCACCTCAACATTATGGGTATCACTGATGATGCTGAATGTAGGTGGTGCCTGGAGGACGAGGAGTCAGCTACTCACATCCTCACGGAATGCCCAGCAGTTGCAGCAATACGGGAAGCACATCTCGGGAACATCGTTTTGGAACCAGAGAGTGTGAGAAGGGTTTCGTTGAGAAGGCTGGTCTCTTTCGCCCGCGAAATTGGCTACCTTCATGACTGAACCAATTCCCAGCAGAGGTGGGTGCATAACGGGCCCGAACTAGGAGGCCTACATGCTGAAGGATCCGTCCGCCCACATAGTGTAATCTATCTAAGATCAATGAAAATAGCTGCAACCTAATTTCCCGTATCAAGACCTTCTTGAATTTTTTGTACTACTTGTAGTACTGCTGCTTGTGTACCACTATTTTCTTGAAAACCGAATTGATTATTATCAAAACTATATTTTTTGTTTATGAAATTTATAACTGTAAGATTTTCTTCCTGCCCTTATATCAAATGTTATTCCTTCCCAACTTTTGACATTGCCACAAAAAGTCAGTTTCTCTGTATCAAGATTATACATTTTCTGAGTAATCTACAAAATTAGAAATTATATTTCGTAGGTCGCAAGTGCAAGCCGATCTTCGTCCAGATAGCCAAGCAAGTGGTGGAGATGATGCCGCAAGACCTGCGGCTGCCCTTCAGGGCGTGGAAAGTGAAATTGGTGGGAGAAGGGGCGGACGATGCGGGCGGCGTGTTCGACGACACCATCACGGAGATGTGCCAGGAGGTGACGTCGGGCGTGGTGCCGTTGCTGGTGCCCACGCCCAACGCCCTCAACGACGAGGGCTTCAACAGGGACAAGTATCTGCTCAATCCGCACTTGGGCTCGCAGCAGAATATGGCGTGGTTCAAGTTTTTGGGTGAGTTTTGTCAGCTTTCTGTCGAATTGGTTGTGAAAGAAAAACAACGTAGGTATTGAAAACTGTGAGTCGAAAGTAGTTTTTATTTTGATAAATTTGTATGTTGCTGTGGAATCCTAATACCCAATGACATGAATGGATTGATGCTATACTAAATATCTATCTAATTTCAGCTGAATGTCAGTAATAACATCCAGTATTGCACATTCAGTGTCACAGGATTTCCGAAAGCCATATTGACCATCAAAGAGAAATTTGATTGATTGATTGATTGTCTTTATTACCCCAAGAAACATAGTTGTTTATAATAGGGATACATAAACAATATACATAATGTTATACATACAATTATGAAATCATAATAAGATATAACAAGTACAAAAAAAAATTCAAATAATCATGCAATATCAACCTTGTCTTTTATAAGTAGGTATTCAAATAAGAAATGGAATTATCAGTCTCTGAAGCAGATATTTTTTCAAATCAATCTAGTTGCTTCCTGTATATTCCTCAATTGACTTGGTAATGAGTTGTATAGAACGATTCCTGTGTGAAAAATGGATTGTTTGCCGATATTTGACTTGAACGTATTTGCTATTAGTAAATTTGATTGTCTTGTTCCATGATTATGTAATGAATTGATTTCATTGAAATTTAAATTCGAAATTTTCAATTTAAATAGGACAAATTGAATAAAACAACATATTTCAAGTTTATATAGTGATGTCAGATCTAATAAATCTCTAGGTTTGTACAAATTCATGGTTGGTTCGAGAAAATTCAAATTGAAAATACACTTCAATGTTTTATTTTGTAATTTCATTAGTGGACTCAAACGTGAAATATTGGTACTTCCCCATATAGATATTAGGTATTGAAATTTTGAGTAAATAAGAGAGAAATAAATACTCTTCAAGTATCTAGTAGAAATGAAATTTCGTATTTTGAATAAAATGCCTTCAATAGGATTAAGTTTGTTTCTCAAATGATCTATATGTTTTTTCCACAATAGTCGTTCATCAATATAAAGACCTAAAAATTTTGTAACATCTGTATTTTTGATGAGTTTATTGTTGAAAGATAGTGTTCTATTTGAAATGTTCAATGTTCATTTTGCTATGTACATATATGAGGATTTGTTATAATTCAGAGATAGTTTATGAACTTGTAACCAAGAGGATATTTTCTCTAAATCACTTTTCATGTCCGTGATAATATTATTTGAATCTTTAGAGAAATAAATCAATGTCGTGTCATCCAAGTTTGATATTGAATTTATGTAGATCAAAAATAAAACTGGTCCCAAGACTGACCCTTGCGGTACACCGCATGAGATGTTCATTAAGGAGCTACAAGTACCACTCACTTCAACATATTGTTTTCTATTTGATGAATAATTTTTGAACCAATCAGGAATTCTTCCTCTGACACCAATTGCAAATCATTTATTTAATAAAACGTTATGGTTGACAGTATCAAAAGCTTTGCATAGATCTAATGACAATAAACCGCATTGATCATTTTTATCTATTCGTAATTGGATATCTGAAATAACATCCATAACGGCTACTTCAGTGTCTTTCAATCTACGGAATCCATACTGACCACTGTATAGCAAATTGTTATTTTCCAGGAAATCAAGAAGACGATAATTTTTATTAAATAATAATGATAATATGAACAGACGATCTCACAAAATCTCATAAATTATTCAAAGAACATTTATTTTGTAATCGAAATTTTTGCTGCTCTTAAAGCCAGGTGAATATCTTCTCCATGAATGAATTCGATCGTATTACAGTGCAATATGGTTTGAATATCGCTTGAATATCGTCTTTTAAACAGAGAGAAATGTGAAAACAAAAACAGGACATTGAAAAACATCGATATTTCTCATACAGTATAAGGAAGGACGAACATTCCACAACCAGTTCAAGATATTAACTTGAACATTCCTGGGGAATACGGGAGCTCCTTCATTTTTTCGATTATGTTTCACTATTATTGAACACTTATGTTATGATAAGAAAACTTTCATAAGTTTTGATGAATCTGAATCAGAAAGAATGCATCTTCTGACACTGCAATAATCCCATTGAAAATCGGTTGATTTGCAAAAAAGTTATCGCATCTTCAATAACGTCAAAAATTTTAGTAGCCTTGGGAACTTTATAAATCCCTATAAAATCTTTATGTTCCTTGAACCTATCTTCGATATATTTCAGGTTTGTCCTACATAATATGTTTTCTAATAATAATCACAAAACAAAATACAATCATTATTTTCAATTTTTGTATTCCAGGTGTATTGTTCGGTGTGGCTATCAGAACCAGAAAACCCTTAGCGTTACCCTTGGCGCCGATGATATGGAAGTTGATTGTGGGAGAACCGTTGAAAATAGAGGACTTGGAAGACACCGACTGCATGTACATTCAAAGTCTGCGGAGCATACGGGACATCCATTTGTCCGGGGTCACTGAAGACTACTTCCACGATATCATTCCTCTAGAAACCTTCGAGGGTACTAGTTGCACAGGAAAGGTAAGTAAATTACTACACTGTTTTATTATTTCGAATTGTCTCTGGAAAAAGTATTTTTCAAACATTTTCTTCATAATTTTTTTTAGTTGGCACCCTGTAATACCGATAATCACCAATAAAAATATTATTTTGACAATTTTGATGAGTGTGTTGATTGAAAATGGATACAGAAGTTTCCTCTATTATGCATTATCATAAATAATTAGACAATGCTTATGTAGCAGTTGAATACTAAGAGGTTACAAAATTTGTCAATATTGAATAGTAAATGTGTGAAGAAAAATGAACCTCATTGAACAATGATTTGAAATACCATGACATGAATGATAATTCATTGATATTCATGTGCCTACCAGTTTTGTTGAGTTTGAGATCTTCTCAACATATTGAATTGATTGTTTTCGGTCGAGCGCAACTGATAGTGCTTTGTTGTTCCTATTATCCTAATATATCACCATTATTTCATTTCATTCGGAGTAGAAATTCACCGGTGAAAAAAACAGAAAAAATTGGACAAAATCCAAATCGTAGGTTCATTTTAAAACTTCACAAACGATAAGATTCCACAAAATTCTGTTTCGCTAACACAGTAGCTTCGTCAGGTGATATACTGGTACGATGAACTACACTAACCTAGGCTTGCTTATACAGTGTGTCCCACTTACCATGCTCACCATGGGTATCTTTTTAACGGTGAGAGATACGAGGTCGGTTAAATGACACCAAATGTGGAGTTTGTCAAGGCCAACTATAATGTGAAAAAATATTTTGATAAAATCTATTCGTTTTTGTTTTATACGCAAAAAACAGATTTTGATCATTTTCATGTCTCCTCCGTAACTTGTTTATTCATGAAAATATTCAAATAGGAATTGCATATTCTCATGGCAGTTTTTCAAAGTGATTTCGAAAAAAATATGAAAATTAAACCAACTCTTCTAGAATTTGAGATATCAGCACCAACTTTAGTTTTTCAAATGTAGGTCATAGCTCACTATGACTTAGTTACAAATAACTTTTTTTTCTCTTACCAATGATATGTCGCAGTAATAGTTTTGTGTTGATAACAACGGAGTTATCGTCATTTATACAAAAACAAAAAATTATTTGGAAGCCGCCATCTTGAATTTATGAATTTTAACAAAAAAATCATGATCTCCGACCTCAAAAACCCTCATTTACCAATTTTGAATGGAATCGGACCAAATCTTGTCCGCCATCTTGGAGCAGCCATTTTTTTTTATTTCAACAAAAATTCCATAATGTATTGTCTCCAAAATTATGAACACCTGCTAAATTCCAAGCTAATCGGAGTTATGGAATTTTTGTTGAAATTGAAAAGAATGGCTGCTCCAAGATGGCGGACAAGATTTGGTCCGATTCCATTCAAAATTGGTAAATGAGGGTTTTTGAGGTCGGAGATCATGATTTTTTTGTTAAAATTCATAAATTCAAGATGGCGGATTCCAAATAATTTTTTGTTTTTGTATAAATGACGATAACTCCGTTGTTATCAACACAAAACTATTACTGCGACATATCATCTGTAAGAGAAAAAAAAGTTATTTGTAATAAAGTCATAGTGAGCTATGACCTACATTTGAAAAACTGAAGTTGGTGCTGATATCTCAAATTCTAGAAGAGTTGGTATAAATTTCATATTTTTTCCGAAATTACTTTGAAAAACTGCCATGAGAATGTGCAATTCCTATTTGAATATTTTCATGAATAAAGAAGTTAGGGAGGAGACATGAAAATGATCAAAATCTGTTTTTTGCGTATAAAACAAAAACGGATAGATGTTATCAAAATATTTTTTCACATTATAGTTGGCTTTGACAAACTACACATTTGGTGTCATTTAACCGACCTCGTATCTCTCACCGTTGAAAAGATACCCATGGTGAGCATGGTAAGTGGGACACACTGTATATCCGGCTTTCCCAACCTGAAGGATTAATTACCTATGGACAGGTTTGATCAACCTCCGTTTTCGGAAATTAGGCACAATATCTACATTAAAATACGGTGTACGGGATTAACTTGAAAGGGTTGATAGGTAATACATATTATTACCTACTAAGAAAACAAATTCAACAGTGGTGAACTATTATTGAGGTCTAATTGATCGTTAAGTAAAATGTCAGAAGTTTTGAGTTTGTTGATTTCTAATGAATCAAAATTTCAAAAGAAAAGAAAACAAATTCAACATACGCCAACCATATATTAGAAGAAAACCATAGTTTTGACGATAATTTTGAAATTCTACATGTAGAAAATAAAGGAATCAAACTCAATCATTTTGAATCATTAGAAATCAACAAAACTCAAAAATTTTGACATTTTACTTAACGATCAATTGGACCTCGATAGTTCACCACTGTTGAATTTGTTTTCTTAGTAGGTAATAATATTTATTTGCCATCATCCCATAATTTCGAAAGTCTACACGTTGAAAATAAAGGAATGAAACTCGAATCATTTTGAAGAAGACATTTTGCAGACATTTTTATCGTGAAGTTCACAAGTTTATGATTCTTTCAAGTAAGACAGGTTTCATTTATGTTCATTTACCAAAAAAAATCAATTCTCTCAATCTCAGAGAAGTTTCTCCAATCACCACAATCACTGATCCAAATATTCGTTGAATGATTTTCTAGATTCATAACTCTCGTAGAAGTTTCTCGTTTTATTTGTAAACGTCATTCTCTTTATTCATTTATTTATTTATTTATTGAAAATGTTACTTCCAGTCAGAATCAAGTTCTGGTATAAGGAAGTATAGTTAACAATAATACCTAAAACTATACAATTATAATAAACTTATGAATAATAAAATATTTGAAAACATTAATTATTAAATTTTGACAAATCATTTCATATTGGTGAGCAAAAATCAATTTGAATATGAATCAAAAGTAAGTCATCTATTTCGTTCAGAAATGATAAATTTTTTAAGATGGTATTTGAATTTTATTGTATTTCTGCAATTTTTTATATTATCTGGTAATTTGTTATATTCCAAGAGAGCAGCGTGGGTGAATCTTTTTTGGCCTATAGAAGTATTAGCGATATCAAGATGAAATAAACCATGTTGTCTAGTTTGATAATTATGAATTTCATTGTTTCGTGTTAAAATAAAATTACATTTCAATCTTTTATTTATGATATTGTATGTAATTTTCATATATCCAATTCTGAACATTTCTTCTAATGAGAATGATTCAGTTATTTTATATAATTGATTTGTTGGTGTATCATTATGGTAAACGATACAGTACTTTCAATGTCTTTTTATATAATGCAGATATTTTATTAAAATTGTTTTTTGAACAGTATCCCCAAACTTTTATCAAATAGTTAATACGACTGAGTATATGAGAATATAGAATTATATTTGCAACTTTTTTATTCAGCTTGGGACATCTTCTCAGGGCTCCAATAATAGGAGATATTTTTTTCTTCAAAACATTTATATGTTTGTCCACTGGCGGATCTGAGGGGGGGGCCATGGGGGCCATGGCCCCCCCCAGAGCTCTGAATAAGTAGTTGATATTGGTTCAACAATCAGTCTGGATATGCAACCAAAGCTACGTTATACAAACCAAAATTATTCGTATTCGTAGTTTTCGTATTGAATGGTTCCTCAAACACTCGAACATGCCAAATCAACTCTTTTTTGAATTTCATTCATTATCATATACAAATATTATATAGAAATATTCTTGTATGCACTGATGCAGTGGGAATATGGGAAAACGACACAGGCGGTCAGATCAAGGGGCGGCAAAACAGATAACGATAGAGGAACAATAATTATTTTCAAGGCCGGGGCTTCAGTAAAATGCAAATTAGCGGTAAGCGGTGACCGGTGGCGGTGAGCGGCAAGAATCAAAAACAAAGGGAATAACTGAAATAAGTAGTTGTTTTTTATCCGAAACCGTGTTTTTGTTTGTTTAGTCACATTTTTATCCATCACATTTATGTTATCCTGGAGTGAGCTCCGACCACCCGAGGTGGTGCTGTAGGTTTTTCCGGATTTTCCTGCAGCTGAAAAGTGAATACTCCACCAAAAATCAGTGAGTGGCCACGGAGCGCCACGGCAAATAAAAGTAATACCCATCCTCTACCCGCATCTCTTTTCTGGAGATTTGAAACACATTACTTTGGTCTTTTCAGATTTTTTTCTACTCTGCTGTCCCTGAACATTTTCATACCAAAACCATTCCCTGTGCAAAGTTTCACCCTAAACGAAAGTGATGAAGTTAAAACCATGGGCTTTGTGCTATATATATATATATAGGTAAAACTAGGTTTATTGGGGAATGCAGCAAAGTGAAAAGAGTACTCTTTAAAGTTTGTCCAAGCTTTCGGAATATTATATTTCCATCATCAGGGAACTACAACAATTTTCCATTAGGTCACATTAATTGTAGCAAAAGAAAAAATGTTTTTTCTACTTACATCTTTGTTGAGGTTGGTTCACATTAATGTTGATAATGATAAATTGTATAAGACGATAATGACATAGTTGATAAGACTAACAAAAAACAGGATCAATCACAAATGTATGATCCTGTTTTTTGTTAGTCTTATCAACTATGTCATTATCGTCTTATACAATTTATCATTATCAACATTAATGTGAACCAACCTCAACAAAGATGTAAGTAGAAAAAACATTTTTTCTTTTGCTACAATTAATGTGACCTAATGGAAAATTGTTGTAGTTCCCTGATGATGGAAATATAATATTCCGAAAGCTTGGACAAACTTTAAAGAGTACTCTTTTCACTTTGCTGCATTCCCCAATAAACCTAGTTTTACCTCTAACTAGTCAGCAACGACTACCCTCTCACATATATATATATATATATATATATTCATATACATATCATTCATTATTCATGTGGTTTCAATGGGTAAGACCACTGAATTTTTAAAACGACATTATCGTGAACTATATACTCAAAAACTACCAGTGAATTAATTTTGAATTTTTTCATTCATGCTAAGACGATGAAAAAAATAAATTAGTATATGTCCATTTCAAAACACACAATTCCTGCGCCATTTGAAATTTCATCAATTCATTGGTGTGACTGGTGCGACGTCTTAGTCCCAACACGCCTATTGTCCTTGAACTGACCAATTACACTGCAACACTGCAGAATGACGAGGTATCAGAGAGAGATAGCTACAGTTCGGGACTAATACGTCACGACTCCACCATCATATTTGGCTGTTTGAAATATGGAATGAAATATGCTGAATTCAAAACGATATAGATTCGATTCCCTTCAACTTCAACTCATAATATTGATTGTACATAAAATGTAAATCATGATTCGTCGATTGAAAGAGGTTTGCATGGATTTCTTCCCTCAGTGGTCTTCCCCATTACTTTGGTTTCAAAATTCCATTAACTCACGGCCCATGGCCCCCCCCTGAAAAACTGCCTAGATCCGCCACTGTGTTTGTCCCACTTCAATTTATCATCAAACCAAATCCCAAGATACTTTTTCTCATTAGTTCGTTTCAAAGATTCATTTTTAATTCTGAGATTTAAATTTATATTTTGTTTATTTTTTTGTTGAAAAACCATATATTCAGTTTTATCAGTATTTATTGATAAGAGGTTTGAATGCAGCCAATTTTCAAATTTCATCAAGTCTCTGTTTATTATATTTTCTAAAATGATAGGATTTTTATTTTCATATAAAAGTACCGTATCGTCTGCATAAATAGTGTAATTACATTCTGTATCAATTTTCGTGATATTTTGAATATATAATAAATATAAAATTGGTCCTAAAACAGATCCTTGAGGGACACCTTTAGTCATTGGTAGTCTATGAGACTCTGAGTTGGTAGATTTGGTACTGATTGTCCTATTTTGAAGATACGAATCTAAAAGGTTCCTTATCATGCCTCTGAGTCCCATTGATTCTAAATTTTCCAAAAGTGTTATGTGGTCTACTGTATCGAAAGCTTTCTTGAGATCAATAAAAATTGCTATCACCACCGATACCAGAATGGAACAAATAAAACGCAACCATCATCATTCCAGGTGGTGCCGATCGTGCACGGCGGTCGCCGCATACCGCTCACCTTCGCCAACCGCGCCCAATACTACGAGCAGGCGGTGGAGTTCCGCATGCGCGAGTTCGATCTGCCCATCGCCGCCATCAGAGAGGGCATGTCGGGCATCGTGCCCGTACCGTTGCTGTCGCTCATGACGGCCGAGCACTTCGAACGGCTGGTGGGCGGCAGGTCGCACATCCCCATCGCCGTGCTGAAGAAGATCGTTCGGTAAGGGTGGAGATCCTGAATGTACAGGGTGATCAGTTGAGGGTAGCGAGCGGCCATATCTCATAAGATATTGGTCGTATAGATTTGAGAAAAAAAAATCATGATAAAAGACGCCAAGAGAAATTGCTGGAAATTATTTTCGAGTTTGTCAAACGTCCGGTAGAGGGCGTAACAACCAACACCAAGTAGACAAATTGGATTTTTATAGAATTTTGTGCATTGAAAGTATATCGATGATATCATTTTCATATTAAATTTACTGACCATTTCCCTACATTGTTTGTCTATAACGTTTTGTTCTATCTATCAAAATAAAGCGGTGGGGAAAGTTCAATTGCTTTTTTAAACAAACCAAGATTTCTCCCGTTTATTTCGACCGACTTTAGCAAACTTAGGTTCATATGAAAGAGCATAATTTGCCCTACAGAACGTTTATTTGGTTTTGAATTTTTGACTTTTGCTGTCGCCGCTAGATGACGTTAACTGAAATGTTAGCAAATTTTTGAGTTTTTTTCAATTTTTATATGTTTTGAAAGAGGATATATTTCTCTATAATTTAATGAAAATAATTTATCATCTACCTTTTTTTTGAACCGTTGATATTGACCAAAATATAATTTTATTACATTAAAAAATGGCACGCCTCTGTTTTTGCTAACAAAAAGAACCCCTTGACTTTTTTCCGTTAGACAAACGGTTCCGGATTGAAAAAATAAAATAGGTTTACATACTGGGAGCCCCATGTAAACCTTTTTATTTTTTCAATCCAAAACCGTTTGTCTAACGAAAAAAGGTCAAGATGTTCTTTTTGTTGGCAACTAATAAGATATTACAAAACTGATCATCTGAATTTTTTAATGGCTCGTTTTATTATTTGCCGTATCTTCGTAGTCGTTTGAAGAAATCCCATCAAACCCGGCATTGTTGAATTCGTAATAATGAACTCTACTTGATAATGGAATAATATACTGGGTGTCACTATTCAAATAAGAAAGTTTAGGTGCACTTCGCTATAACCCTGTATACCTACGATTTATTCAATAGCATATTTCGAGTGAGCATCATCAAATATACTGGGTGACAAAATGTCAAGTCATTCGATCGCGCGGTTGATTTTTTGCAGGGGGGGGGCATTTTAGTTGGGACACGGTGTATATTCAGCACATTTATATGATTCAGTCTAAGGAATATTCCCAGAATATCAAGATATTTTTCCTTTCAATTAATGAGAAAGAACACCCTGACAAAAAAAACAATTCAAGTGATTGAACTCCGCGTGATTGTGCCTTCCGCACAAAAGTTTGAACAGAGGTGACGTAAGGATTGATACAGTGTAGAACTTGGGGGTGTAAAAAGGGGTCTCACCCCACATTTCATTTTGATCCCTATATTTTTCATTCGATAGGATAGGTCGTGCTTTCTCAGAGTTTGAAATATTTGTACTAATTTCATTGTCACCCTGTATACAATCTTTCTAATACTTTTAGGATTATGGATAGGGTGTTGACCTTTTATTTTCTCCCCAGGTATAGAGAATTAGATGAAAACCATCACTTGGTGCAGTGGCTGTGGAATATTTTAGAGAATTTTACGGATAACGAAAGAGTTTTGTTTATGCGGTTCGTATCAGGCCGTTCCAGATTGCCGGCCAATCTGGCCGATTTATCGCAACGATTTCAAGTAAGTATTCACATTTTATCGCCTCGAGCCTTCCATAGTCTTCCACTCTGTTGACAAGTTGCACAATATTAATAAGGTTCACTCTATTACTTTCAAAGAACTAGATCTAATATCTAATCTTAAACTTAGTACATATACATCAAATATCATTTTCTATTCACATATCCTCAGTACAATTAACTATCTGATAAATATTTGGGGATCTTGTTCCAAAAATAGTTCCAACAAAATGTCTGTTCTATCTATTATATCTAAATGACGCCGAAAAAAATTCAAGGGGTAATTCCATGTGATATTCGAGCAAATAAGGTTCATATAAACATGTATCCTAACTATATAGCTCCGTTTTTGAGATACAGGATGTTGAAGTTGGAAGTAAGCCCCCTGTATAAGCTTTCATGGTGCAGAAATTCAGTATGGTTGGAGACCGAGAAAGCCTCAAAATTTCAAAATGATCCCAAGAAACATACAATGTTTATAGAGGGAAACAAAAAAATATATAGTGAATTAATCAAATATGCAATACAATGAAAGATAAACAGTTCAATCAGAATTAATTGATACAAGGAGAGAGTTAAAGTGATAAAATATATTTCTTCAGTTCACACTTGAATTTTTTGACGAACCTAATAGATTTTATTCTGTTGGGTAGACTCTTATAAATATTTATTCCACAAAAATACAATGATTTTTTCCCGAATTAGGTTTTAATTTTGACAGTTTTCAAATGTTCACTTTGTCTGGTGTGATGCTCATGGGTATCAGAATTGATATTGAAAGTGAGATTCGAGTGCTTTTTTTTATGTTTAGTGAAATGAATGAAAATTCATACTTTCATTTTGAAGAGAGATTCTATTCAAGAGGCACAACAATCTTGAAGAACTTCATGCAACAACGGAGACAGTTTCCAGAAATTACATAGACATCCTTTAATGATTTTTAATGCATAAGACGTATTTAGAAAGTGTGTGAGGAAAAATGGACATCAATTTGAATAATTCAATGAATGAGTCAATAGTTTCGAAATTCAATTGTCTTAGTGAATATTTAATCAGGTTCTCATTCTAAATTATAAACTTTTTATTACGAATTATTTGTTGCTATCAGGTAACTAAGTTAGTTACTTAATTAGTGTTGGTATTGTTTTTGTCCTCTTCATGAAAAATCAAAGGATAATTCCCTCAATTGAAACTTTTTTCATATGAAAGATCCTCCAATCCATTTGAAATTCCATGTTTCAGTGATTTTGGAGCATTTTTGAAATTTTTATATTTGTACATAATACAAAGGGAAAAAAATAAGGGTGTTCCATTTAAAAAATCCTAAGTTTGAGTCGTATCTCCAAAACCATACCCCGAAAAAAAATTGAGTGCGCCACTGGATTGTGCATAAAATTCTCCATGGGCTAAAATTTTAATTTGGGGTTTCACAAAAAAGTGGCACAGGACCGCGACAACCGCAAGGTTCTATCTCCAAAGATAACTGAGATATCACACAAAAGCATCGAAAACTGGACACACTGTGATTGATTGATTGATTAATAGCAGAATGATCAGTCAGGGTTCGAAGCCCAAAACACTGCAGCCTTTGGGCCTACTGTATTCCTGATCATGCTGTTGACTTAGGTGAACAGGTTCGCTACCTTGATGAGGTTTAGCAGCCTCTTCACCAAATCATTCTTTGAAAATGCCTCTTGAGAGTTTACTGCTCCCAGAAGGTTGTATCTCCAACGCGCTAGTGCTTCGCACTCCAATATTACATGGGTGGCAGTTTCCTCCTCCTCATTGCATAGTCTGCATATGGGTTCGTCTATATACAGTGTGTCCCACTTACCATGCTCACCATGGGTATCTTTTTAACGGTGAGAGATACGAGGTCGGTTAAATGACACCAAATGTGGAGTTTGTCAAGGCCAACTATAATGTGAAAAAATATTTTGATAAAATCTATTCGTTTTTGTTTTATACGCAAAAAACAGATTTTGATCATTTTCATGTCTCCTCCGTAACTTCTTTATTTATGAAAATATTCAAATAGGAATTTCACATTCTCATGGCAGTTTTTCAGAGTGATTTCGAAAAAAATATGAAATTTATACCAACTCTTCTAGAATTTGAGATATCAGCACCAACTTTAGTTTTTCAAATGTAGGTCATAGCTCACTATGACTTTATTACAAATAACTTTTTTTTCTCTTACAGATGATATGTCGCAGTAATAGTTTTGTGTTGATAACAACGGAGTTATCGTCATTTATACAAAAACAAAGAATTATTTGGACGCCGCCATCTCGAATTTATAAATTTTAACAAAAAATCATGATCTCCGACCTCAAAAACCCCCACTTACCAATTTTGAATGGAATCAGACCAAATCTTGTCCGCCATCTTGGAGCAGCCATTTTTTTTTATTTCAACAAAAATTCCATAATGTATCGTCACCGAAATCATGAACACCTACCAAATTTCAAGTTAATCGGAGTTATGGAATTTTTGTTGAAATTTAAAAATATGGCTGCTCCAAGATGGCGGACAAGATCTGGTCCGATTTCATTCAAAATTGGTAAGTGAGGGTTTTTGAGGTCGGAGTTCATGATTTTTTTGTTAAAATTTATAAATTCAAGATGGCGGCTTCCAAATAATTTTTTGTTTTTGTATAAATGACGATAAATCCGTTGTTATCAGCACAAAACTATTACTGCGACATATCATCTGTGAGAGAAAAAGAAGTTATTTGTAACTAAGTCTTAGTGAGCTATGACTTACATTTGAAAAACTGAAGTTGGTGCTGATATCTCAAATTTTAGAAGAGTTGGTATAAATTTAATATTTTTTTCGAAATCACTTTGAAAAACTGCCATGAGAATGTGAAATTCCTATTTGAATATTTTCATGAATAAAGAAGTTACGGAGGAGACATGAAAATGATCAAAATCTGTTTTTTGCGTATAAATCAAAAACGAATAGATTTTATCAAAATATTTTTTCACATTATAGTTGGCCTTGACAAACTCCACATTTGGTGTCATTTAACCGACCTCGTATCTCTCACCGGAAGAGCAATCTTCAGGAACCTGAACGAAAAGGGTCTTTCATATTGAAGTGTCCCTTAATAGGCACCATGAGTCGTATGTGGTAAAATTGATAACGGCATGTAGGTGAGATACAATGGGCCACTAGGCCTAAGTGTCGTCGGAGCCTATAACGGGGTGGAGTGTTTAGTGGGTATACCATGGAGGGGACTCCCACACTATCATATGGGGGATTGGACCCATATGATGTCTATAAAAGATTTCAACCACCTCGGCGAAAAAAAAAAATCTCTCACCGTTCAAAAGATACCCATGGTGAGCATGGTAAGTGGGACACACTGTAGATGCCCATTTGATGCATATGTTTCCTCAAGGGGCAGTGACCGGTTATTAGTCCCGTCACTTGTCTGATCTGACTTCTGTTTAGGCTCAGAATGTCGTTAGTCACTGTTTGGACAGTGTTCCAACCATCAGTTTACTGTGTCTTTGTCCTGGGACATTGTTCCAGTATGCCTGATGTCTTTCTTGCATCCACCTTGCCACACAGGTTCCGGTCCCATAAACAACGCCGCAGACCTTTGCCGGGCAAGAGCGTCAGCTGCTTCATTGCCTTCAATTCCCTTATGCCCTGGCACCCATTGAAAAATTACCTTGTTGTGGTTAACCAGGGTTAGCAGGCTTTGAAGGCAGTTTTGATCTGATTTTATTGCATGTTAAAGATTGAATGGCCGCCTGACTATCTGAGCATATGAGGATTTGTTCACCTCTGTATCCTCTTACACACTGTACATTCGTATTCCTTTTTTCATAGGTGATGAAGTTTTCTGTGTATTTTTAGGTAATGAAAGTCGAGAAAGCTGTGAACGGATTGCCGACTGCGCAGACGTGCTTCTTCCAGCTGCGGTTGCCTCCTTATACCAGCCAGGAAATAATGGCGGAAAAGTTGCGTTACTCCATCAACAATTGCAAATCGATCGATTTGGACAATTACATGTTGGCCAGGAATACGGACCAAGGTGTCGGCTCCGACGAGGAGTGGAGTTGATTAGGAAACGGAGGCGATTAGGTATCTAAATGAAATTATATTTGAGGCTGAATTTAGGTTTATCGGATTATGAGGGGGATTGATAATTTAATTAATTTAATTTATTGACGGATACCCTTTTTTCAGTTTGAGTTGTATTTGTTGGCTTTCATTTATGTAATAAAATGAATTATTGGTTTCTGACAATATACAGTTCATCTTATGTACGAAAAAAAATGTTGAGGAAGGAGTTGATGCAAAACTCTGACAAGTGAGAAAATATAAACAACCTTTATTCTGATCCTATTTCCTCTAATGATTTGCTATGTTTATGTTGCTACTAAATTATCATATTGATTTTTTTCCTGCAATGAGTTTTAGGCCCAAAACTGAAGGTTAGAGGAATGTATTGCCATAGAGGAAGGTGAATAATTCCATTTGAATGACAATCTAAATGGAAAAATGGCGTCTAATAATCTTCCATGAACAAGATAATTTGGAACTATGAATTTGTACATTTTTATTTTTTCTTCAAATATTTACTGGTCTATTGTTCATCGCTACTCATGATTCCAAAGCATGCTTTTGATTAATTTTTCTAACTTAACTTGCAAACAATTCCCTATAATTTACTTGGTTGAAAACATAATTATTAATCATGACAAGTTTAAAACCATAGGTTTTATTACTTTTATGCAAATGATTATTGTTTTATTGTTTATTGTTTTATTGTTTATTCAAAAACTAGCTTCCAGTCAGAAATAAAATTCTGGTATGAGGAAGTTGATTACAAACAACAATAATAAAATAATATAAGGTGACAACAACAACAACAACAAAAAATCAAAAAAAAATCTAAAAATGCTAACGATCAAGTCATAAAAATAGTCTTAGGGTTTAATCAGTAGATGGCAAAGTATAAATTTTATCTATTTCGTAATGAAATCATGTGTTTTTTTAATTCAACTTTAAATTTTGAAATATGTCTGCATTTTTTTATATTATGTGGTAATTTATTAAATTCAGCTAGAGCAGCGTGAGTAAATTTTTTTTGGCCAATTATAGAAGTAGCAGAATCAAGATGAAATAAGTTTGATTGTCTCGTGTGATGACCATGAATTTCTGTGTTTCTTACCAAAACAAAATTGGATTTCAGATTATTGTTTATTATATTATATGAAACTTTAAGAGAATCTATTTTATATAATTTCATCCAATGAAAATTCTTCTGTTATGGCATACAGATCATTTGTGATTTTTTTTTTCAATTTTGAAGTACTGTAAAAATAATCTTCCACTTTCTTTGATGCATATTATAAATAAAATTGTTTCAATAGGATATTCAATAAATTGGCTTCGTTTGGAATATCTCACAAAATTCATTTGAGTGTTTTACATAAATCGAATAAACTGCTCAACACATGAAACGTAAAATCGCATTTTTTTTGTTAAAATTTGAATCATCATAACTTTCGATTTCCTCAACCGATTTTCAATTATTTTTCAATTTCTGAAAGCTCGTTTCATTGACTATTGAATCTAGGGATATGACTATTTCATCTTTTCCGGATGAGATTCTACAGGAAGATAATCAAAGCTGTGCATTTTTTCAAAAATGTTCTCTTTTTTTTTTGGGGTCAAAAACATATTGTTTCATATGTTTTCTGAATACTGTAAACAAATTTTTGGAATTGTCAAACGCATTACTGACATATATGAATGATTTATTAATATAATGCATAATTTGGTGCTCTAATTTCTATTGGATTTGTGTTCCTGTCAATCTGGTTTGAACGGTGGTCAAAAATCTTGAAATGATGCATGATCAACCTACTCTGATATACAGGGTGGTCCTCAAACAACAATTATGACATCAAGTAATGAAAAAAAATCTTGTTTTGACGAGCAAGAAAATTTCGAAGCAGGAAACCGATTAAGAAGTTTTCTGGCGATCAAAGCGGATTTTCAGAGCGTCGTTCTCACTTTGTGATAGATTTTTAGAAGATAATTTTCAAGGCAAATGAGAAGAAATATACAGGATGTCGTCTAAATAAAAAAAGTTGCTGCCGAGACATACCATATGCAACTGACAGAACTCATCACAATTGCAGTAGATTAATGAGTATCAGGATGTGATTTCATTTGCAGAGAACGTCTTCACAAAGGACTTATATTGAATATTTGACGAAATTCAAAAGAATGGTGGACGTGAGTCACTCGGAAATTTTCTTGCTCGTCAAAACAAGACTTATTTTATTACATGATGTCATAATTGTTGTTTGAGGACCACCCTGTATATAAGAATAGGTTGATCATGCATCATTTAAATATTTCGACCACCGTTCGAACCAGATTGACAGGGACACAAAGCCAATAGAAATTAGAACATCAAATTATGCATTATCTTAATAAAACATTCATATTTCAGTAACGAGTGTGACAATTCCAAAAATTTGTTTACAGCATCGAGAAAACATATGAAGCAATATGTTTTTGATAAAAAAAATAGAAACATTTTTCTTTCAAACGGGAGGCGTTTGAAATTTTTGGAAAAATGCACAGCTTTGATTATCATCCTGTAGAATCTCATCCGGAAAAGATGAACTAGTCATATCCATAGGTTCGATAGTGAGCTTTCAGAAACTGAAAAATAATTGAAAATCGGTTGAGGAAATCGAAAGTTATGATGATTCAAATTTGATGGAAAAAAATGCGATTTTACGTTTCATGTGTTGAGCAGTTTAGATACATTTTCTGAACAAAGTTTTATCTGTGGATTTCAAAATTACCTACCTACCCACAGTATTATCATCTGCTGATGATAAATATTTTGAATATTGGGTTATCTCCAAATCAGCATAACAGTATTCTTATCAATTTCAATTGATACAGATTGCAGCTACTGTGTGTTTGTCAAGGACTCCATGCAGTTCAATAAATAATAACCTTTTATATAATATGTAACTGATAATATATTAGATAAAATTGATACAAATCGTTTACAACTTATACACAAACCACAAAAGTGAATAGATAAAATTACTATCCAGGCATAATAATAAAGTCATATAAATTAACAAAACAAATAAAATTTTGAATAATTATATAAATCTATATTTCCACAGTTTCCAATCATCTTATATATAAATTTCAGTGCCTTGAAAATTTTAGAACAATATTTACTAGCAATATCAATTAATCTCAAATTGATTCATGTGGAATGCAAACATAATATACTTAAAGCAATACAAAATTAAAACTATAAATCTAGCACACCTACCAAACAGCAATAATAAGCTTTTTTGAAAAACCTATCCAACAACAATTTCTACCAACTAAAATTCATCCAGCTACTTGTCTTTAACATTTATAATTAAATTATTGGCTTTCACTGTTGTTGTCGTTGTTGTAGTAGTGACAACACTCTCATGGTCTGCATCCATTCTCCCCCTCTTCAAAGGTGGACCATCTCCAGGCTCATACTCATCTATATCAGGTTCAATGAAGCCTCTCTTATGCCTGTACCCCCCATAATCCTCATCCCCTGGCCCCCCAATCCCATCCTTACCCCTCTCCAGGAAACCCTGCACAGTCTCCATCACTTTGCTGAACAAGCTCATCTTGGAATTGTTGTTGGAGTCTGACACCAGATTGTCATATTTCTTGCCCATCTCCTCCAACATCTTGGAAATCTCCTTATCAGTGGAGTTCTCCATGTCTGCTACCAGTTTATCATAGTCTTCTTCATCTTTGAAGACCAGGAACTCCTCCATGTTCAGGGCATCTTCTGCTGTGGTAGGACTGGAGAGCAGTGATCTTCTGACAGCCACTTGCTCCTGTTCATTAGAAACAGGTTTGTTGTCGAACAGCTTCATGTTGGGCAATGAAACTAGTAGGGCAGAAAGCAGGACCACCATGAGACATGTGGAAGGAGTTGCTTTCGATGTGGTGGAGTTACAAATCAGGGCTTGCAGCTTATTGACATGTGCTATCAGGGTTTTGTTTTGCTTTTGCAAGGCACGAACTCTTTGCAGCAAGTTTCTGTTTTCCTGTGAGCCCACTCTCACCCTCTCCTCTAGCCCGTCTACATACTCTTTCTTCCTCTTTCTGGAGTCTTGGGCAGAAATTTTGTTCCTGATTTTCCTGCGGATGCGTTTCAGTTCTCTTTCTTCAGTTTTTGTTAGAGGATGGTGGGTTGGCAGCTGGATGCCTTCTTTAGCCAAAAGTCTCTTTTCTTCTTGGGTGAGGGAGATGGATGGGTACTGGTTGGAGGATTTCACATGGATCTGTTCAGCTGTTGTATGTTCAATCTTGCGTTTCCTGATATTGCCAAATGTTGCCATATTGATGGGGGCATTCAGTATTTTGAAGCTTTTTATGTTTAATGGTACCAATAGAGGACTTCCATTAGTTGAAATAGGTTGGACTTTCAGTATTTGAGGATGGACTTTCAAGGGGGTAGCATTTTTGATTTGACTTGCAGTTAGCATGGGCTTGGAGATGCATTTTTTGTTGTTTGGGTTTTGAATTAGAATTTGGGTGGGCTGTTTTTGTACAGGGGTTGTTACTTGGACAATTTCGGGTTCTTTTTTAACTGTGACTGGGTATTCCGGAGCAGAATCGAACATAGACATCAACAAGGTATCATCAAATTGATCCATACTACCCAAGACTGTACCAGACTCATCCAAACTTTCCATACTGGTACTGTTTTTATCGCTTTCCGAATAGTAACTTTGCGGGGAGAGCACTTCATCCAAATGCGAGCTGACGTCGCTGGATAGATTGATATCATCTTCTAATTTGGAGAAAAACACATCATCCATATTGTTTTCCAAGGAGAGGACAGAGTCGAAAAACTCTGAACTCATGAGCTCCGGGTCATCACAATTCAATGATACGTCCATGGTTTCCATATCGCTGTTTGCTTCTTCTCCACTAGAATTTAGTAGATCATTGATATTCATGTTGTTTTTTCAAACACACCTTCATGCACCCATATCGAAAAATAGCACGTTTATTTTTGGTCACGTCACAATAATCGTCGTCACTTCAAAGTTCAAACCTCACAACTTCACTGTCAAATTTCATGTGTCAAAATTGCTGTGTTCCAAATAGAAATAAAATCGTACTAGATTGAATTTGGTTGGCCATTGACAGCTAAATATCTAGACTGTCTACCGTCAGACAGTCTAGATATTTAGCTGTCATTGGGTTGCCACACTTGTCACAGAGTTGTTCTATGACTGTGATTCTTGTGTTCTGCGAAGTGATGTGCTTTGACGTGTTCCTTCCTTATGTTCTGTGGTTCTGACTCATCGACAGCTGATGTCATTTTGTTTCAAATTTTAAAAATTCAAAAGTTGAAAAGTTCATAGTCTTGAGTCTTGGTATATTTTGTTGTAAAATGGACGTAATCATCCTGTATTATGAAAGAGGCGGCGAAGAGAACAGATGTCAGTTGATGTCATTAGTTAATTTTCATGAATTGTCATTTTTCGTACATGAACTTTATATTTGAATAAAATTTTCTAAAAAGCCTTTCCATCTTGACAAAGAACCTTAAACAACAGGAAATAACGGTATCTGAAGATATTTCCTACAATTCAGAAGTGGTCCTTATTGGTATCAGAAAATTTGTGGCAGAGTATTGGTGTTAGCGAGATTTCCGAGTATATCTTGATTGTTTTCTTCTGGTTCCTGGAGTAGTTATCTTCATGGCAGAGGGAGGTACGAGTCCAAGTAGTACGGCGGAGTTTTCAGCATCGCAGGATTCTCTGATGGAAAAGTTCATGGAAATGATGTTAACTATGGAGCGGAATAGATTGGCTTCGGAAGAGAAGTTTCTCAAGTTGCTTGAAAGGTCTAATGATAGAGAGCAAGAGAATAGAGAATGCCATGCTATTCCTGATTTTAGTAAAAGTATAGAAGATTTCAGTGGAGAAACTCTAGGAAAACCTGCTATGGATTGGCTTGTTAGTCTGGAGAGTGCAGCTGTATTGCACAACTGGCCTCAAGAGTATACTCTAGAAACAGCGAAAATCCATATGGTCAGTACGGCTAGGAAATGGTTCACTGAGAGAGCTTCTCAAATTAAAACATTTGAAGATTTCAAAGCGAGTTTCAAGAAAACTTTTGATTTCAAAATGGGTAAAGATGAAATGTGGGAAAAAATGAAGAAGCGAATTCAAGGGAGAACAGAATCAATTTATTCCTATTTTCAAGATAAGGTTACGCTTTGCAAGAGTTTAGGATTCGATTTCGATGAAATAAAAGAGCAGGTAATTGTAGGACTTCAAAACAAGAGTATAATTCCTGGTTTGCTTGCTAAGGATACTACAGATACTGATCAATTATTGCATGAGATTGTGAGATTCGAGAAAATAAACAACAAAGCTAATTTTTATACCCACAATAAATCTCAACCTCGTAGTTTTTGGAATAAGAATAAGATTTCTTCTGGTGAATCTGAGAATGTAAGGGATCCTACAGAAATAACTTGTATGGGAGCAGATAATGACGACCCTGCTAGGGAAAATCGTGAAAGTGATAAGAAATCTAGAGTGATTTGTTTTAAATGCAAAGGAAGAGGTCATTTCAAGAAAAATTGTCCACAAAATACAAATCAAACTTCAACTACTGCCAAAGTTCCAAGTGAAGGAAATGCAAGTCATTCGCATACACAGTCTTTGGTGTGCAGTAAGAATAGTGAAGTTGATTCGATTCAGAAATTTATCCGACCAGTCAAAATAAATCATTTTCTGGATATCACAGGTTTTATAGATCCCGGTAGTGCAGTTTGCACAATTAAGGAAAGCGTTATACGTGCTAATAATCTACCATGCAAGTCAACAAATCAAGATTTATTTGGTTTTGGAGGACAAAACATAACAAGTAAGGAAATCACTAAGTTAATAGTGACGTTGGATGAAGTCGAGGAAGAAGTTGAGGCGCTGGTCGTGCCAGAGAGTTCACAGCCAATGGACTTGGTAATCGGAAGAACATTTACTGAATTACCATGGGTTGCATATGTTAAAATTGGTGAACAACTGCATTTTGGTTATAAACATGAAGATCCATTCAGAACCATGAAATGGAGAGAGGCTCAACACAAAAGCGATGTAATGATCAAAAATGACGTGAAATTTGAAAAAAATACGTTGAATTTCGTCGATGTTCAGGTTGGAGAAGAAGTTGGAAGGATGGCGGTAATGACAAATCGAGATGTCAGTTTGAAGGTGGGTGATCGTCTTGGTGAGATACGAGGGGACTTCGAGACGTTTGCTGATTACACTACTTCAAATGAAAATAACCAGATTCCTATAACTTTGGACATGTTGAATTTTGATGAAGACGTATGTCAGGAAGACAAGGAAAGACTTTTGAATTTGATTAAAGAATTTCGAGGTTGTTTTGCGTTGAATTTGGCCGAATTAGGGTGCACAGACTTGATGACAGTTAGCATAAAAGACAATGATAAGCCTATTAAAGCAAAACCGTATCGTTGCAATTTAGAAAATCGAAAGACAATGAAAGAAACGGTTGACGAATGGCGTGAGTGCGGGATAGTTCGTGATACAAATTCATCATATTCGTCACCAGCTTTTCTCGTACCAAAAGCTACTGGTGAGAAAAGACTTGTTGTAGATTTTCGGAGATTGAATGCTCAAACCGAGATAAAGACATTTCCAATTCCTCACATTGACGATTGCTTCGAGTTGCTGACCGGATCAAAAATATTTTGTACGTTGGATTTGATGTCAGGTTATTTGCAAATACCACTTGATGAAGAGTCAAAAGCAAAAACTGCTTTCATATACCCAGATGGTACGGCTGAATTCGAAAGAATGTGTTTTGGTTTGGTAAATGCCCCTTTTGAATTTTCAAAACTCATGTGTTTGGCTCTAGGACCTTTAAGAAATACTGTTGCAGTATCATATCTGGACGATATTTTGATCGGTGCGGCAAATTGGACCGAAATGTTGGACAAACTACGGCAAGTGTTTTCTGCGATATTGAAAGCGAAATTGACATTTAAACTCAGTAAATGTGAGTTTGGAAAGAAGTCTGTGAAGTTTCTTGGATTTCAATTGACTGCAGATGGTATCATTCCTGGAAGAAGAAAGATGACAGCGGTTAGCGAGTTTCCGGCACCGCAGAATAAGCACGATGTTAGACGATTCCTAGGTTTAACTGGATTCTTTCGCAGATTCATCCGAGATTATGCAGTGAAAACAAGACCTCTATCAGACTTAACGAGAGTAAATATAAATTTTTCTTGGCAACAAGAGCATCAAAAAGCTTTTGATGATTTGAAAGAATTGTTGCAGAATGCACCTATTTTACAACTATACAACCCTAAAGCTAAAACAGAACTTCACTGTGACGCATCTAGTTTGGGCATCGCAGGTATGTTACTACAGGAGGGCACTGATAAAAAAATACATCTTATATACTGCGTGTCCAAAAAGACGAGTGATGTTGAAAGAATGTATCATTCTTCGAAATTGGAGTTATTAGCGATAGTCTGGTGTGCTGAGAGGCTGAGACCAATGCTGTTAGGTTTGAAGTTTACTGTTGTAAGCGATTGTCAAGCTTTAGTCTATTTGAATGCGAAGAAAACTATTCTTCCACAGATTGCTAGATGGTATACTACTTTAGCCGAATATGATTTTGAAATCAGACACAGAGCTGGTGATAAAATGGCTCATGTAGATAGTTTGAGTCGGGCTCCAGTAGAAGAACCGGCGAAACAAGGTATGATTGAGGAAGTTTATGAAAATAGAATAAATATGTTTATGATCATAAATGAAGAAGACAGAGTTTTAATGATTCAGAAGAATGATGAAAAATTGAAACAGATTGTCGAAATCTTACAGAAAGAAGACAAAAATAATGAGGAAAAGAACATGATAAAGAATTATGCAATAGAAAATGGAAGATTATACAAGGAAGTGAAGATTAACGGAGAAAATAAATGGCTTTATGTGATTCCAGATTCTATGAGAAAGGCAACGGTCGTGAAATACCACGATTTAATGGGGCATTGGGCATTAGATCGTACGGTATCAGCCATTTTAAGGAAATTCTGGTTCAAAGGAATGCGAAGATATGTGAGGAAACATATTCAGGGATGTTTCGAATGTTTGTTTGCGAAAGTTCCTGGAGGAAGAAAGGCATCAGGCATGCTACATCCGCCAAAAATTCCTGAAAGGCCAATGATCAAAATCCATGTTGATCATCTTGGACCTTTTCCCAGAAGTACTACAGGGAAAATGTATGTACTTGTGATCGTTTGTGCATTCTCAAGATTCGTCAAACTTTTTGCTCTGAGGAGTACAAAATCAGAAGAAACAATTAGGCATATGGAGTTTTTCATAGATCAGTATGGGGCTGCTAAAGTGTTGGTGAGCGACAGAGGAAGCGCTTTCATGAGTACTGAATTTTCGAATTTTTGCAAGAAATTTGATATTGAACACAAACTCATTGCTGCACAGTTTCCACAGGCAAATGGAATGGCTGAAAATAGAATGAAATCGATTGTACCATGTATTGTCACCTCGATAAATTTTGAAGATGAGAGATGGGACAAAACCCTTAGTTCAGTGGAAAGGAAATTGAACGGTGCTGTGAATAAAACTACAGGATTCACACCTTTTGAATGTCTGTACGGGTTTCAACCAAATTTCGAAGACGCAGGATTGGTAAATTTTGCTGAACGACAACCTGAAGAAGCAAGACATGAAGAAATCAGGAATAAAGTGAAAGAAAATACGGGAAGAAATCAGAAGAAATACAAGATGTATTATGATAGACGACGATATGAAGGAGTGAAGTTCGATATAGGTGATATTATAGCAGTACGTAAACCACATGTAAGTACTGGACAACCTACGAAAACTCAACTCAAATATCGTGGACCATTTGTTGTGATCGAAATACTTCCTGGTAACACATACAAATTGGAGAAATTGAATAAGGAAGACGGAGGATCAAATGTCACTACGGTAGCTCATGTTTCTCAAATGAAAATATATAGAAATTCAGGAGAGAGTGATGATTCTGGAAACGATGATTCAGGAGATAATGAAGAAGTCGATTTTGAGATAGTTGATGTAGCAGAGCATAGAGAAGAAGAAAGCGATGAAGATAGTGACGACAGTGACGAAGAATGGAAACCCGATTCTGATGAAAGTATGGATAACACATTGGGAATCGATGATTCTATTCGTCAGAATACTAGAACAAAACGAATAGTTCGAAAACCTAGAAGATTCGACGACTATGTTTGAGGACAAACATAATGCTCAGGATGGACGAATGTTGTAAAATGGACGTAATCATCCTGTATTATGAAAGAGGCGGCGAAGAGAACAGATGTCAGTTGATGTCATTAGTTAATTTTCATGAATTGTCATTTTTCGTACATGAACTTTATATTTGAATAAAATTTTCTAAAAAGCCTTTCCATCTTGACAAAGAACCTTAAACAACAGGAAATAACGGTATCTGAAGATATTTCCTACAATTTTAGAGGTCTTTTTCTCTTTTGTCCTAGTTTTTAAATTATGCCTGATAACAATATCGTTATAAGTAAGTATAAATATGTGAATCTATTCATTCAGCCAGGTATACATTTACATAATCGGCTTCATTTTTATTAATCAGCTTTTCAGACAGATGGTGCGGCTTTTATTCAATAAACTGCGATGGTTTCGAAGCACTTTCGAAGACAGCTTCCGAGTAGCGATGGCGTTATACTCATATAGGATCAAATAAAGTGAGTACAAAAGTTATCTATCTATCACACGATCGAGAGGATATCCTCAGATATGACTGATGTAATATGTAATATACCAGGGTGTGACATTTTGAACACTTCCCACCCTGAATATCTTCCTTCCAGTAAATGATATGTAAAATCGAGAAGACAGCAGAGGTCAATTTTTATTTCGGCACATCATTTTGAAGAGCACTCAATTCTCTTTTCACCGTTACCGCCTATAGTTTATCATTTTCTGTTGAGCATCAGTTTCCGAAAAATGCCATGTCAATTAAAAAACTTCCCACCCTTCCCATATAGCACCAGTACTTCCCCAAAACGTACTAAGAACGTGCGGCCAAGACGTTTTGTGCGTACTGGGGGATGTCCAGATTAGGACCGTGTAGAGTACTAGAGAGGTATATATGTATACCCACGAACTGGGGACGTCCAGATTCCGCACATTTGTACATCGCCAGTATGTCCATTCAAGACCATGAATACCTGAATCAACGTAAATTCGCCTTTTTTTACCCAGATAGTTGAAAAAGAGATCTCTATATAGATGATGACAAAGTAGAAAAGATCTCATTCTGAATATTGGGGATTGATCCGGCAGAGAATACCTAAATAGATATAGAGTATATTAATCGTTTTTGGACATTATGTTCATCTGAAATTTTTTCCTATTTCGATCCAAAAAAATACGACCTCGAGGTCTTGTGCAATAATGAAACAACCTGATGTGTATATGTTTATCTCAGGAACTGATGTATAGTTTATGAAACAGGCCCCCTTGCGAGGGCGGTATGAAATCTATATAGAATGGCATAGATGCTTTCTTTCTCGAACCAGACCATCAGTTCCTAATATAAGATACAGTATCTCATCCGTCACCCTCATATTGAATCACATACATATACATACGCGTAGACATTCAGTAGGTATAAAAAAACTGGTTTTGAATGTTGGTAAATTTACTTTTTCTTTTTACAATATACAATGAAACAGTATACCATATTATTCACCAATAAATTAGACATATTAAATATTCCAATAGACTATAGAAATAATAGAGACTCTAGTGTTATAAAAGGTGCATAATTTAAAAATTTTGAAGTACCTAGTTAATTCGTATGGTACGAGGTTGACAGGTGGTTGAACATTTTTTAATGAAAAGTAGATTGTTGAAATTACAAAATTGGCTTGTTCAAGGATTTTTCAGAATATATTTGGATTCTGAAATATCGGATTTTATTGCATTATAGGTTTTCACACTGTTTATATACCTATACCGCCGAGGTTCGCCAATAAGGCTTGAAAAAGTGAAAAACAGTTACTTTTTATGGGACACACCCTATACATATTTCGACAAATATTTTTATCATTTATTTTTTTTTTTAAATTTTTTATCCAATTAAACTGATTTTTGTTTTTAAAAATAGCAGTAAAAATGTTGAATAATAAACACATAAAGTTTAATAATAACTTGTTTTTGTTATACGACCTATCTGATTTTGTATATATTTGTGTCATTCAGTCTGCAATACCTATATCTTTAATTGGTATTCATATATCATTATTGATAATATAAACGCTGGCTTTTAATGGCACTCTTTGAACCTAATATAAGATACGTGTGTGTCATTAATTAGTAATATAAACTGCTAATCAATTGAAAATATTCGCACGGTTCGGGTACCCAATTTAAAAAAATAACATTTGTTGCAGTCGTTTTGAGTTATGCTTGTATCTACAGTACATATTTTTTGTATTTTGTTCATTTTTTTCGTGCTCACACTTTGTATAGCTATTCAGACGATGGTTCCTAAAAGTATTCCGAGAGACGACCCCCTATAAAAGTAATTCCGGAATTTTCGTCTCCATAATTATTTTTATTATGTCTCAAATGTTCTGAATGGCCTCCCTTAATATCTTACTATACTTTATTATTTATATTATTATTATAATTATATCTATCAAAGCACTCTGGTATAAAAAAACATAAATGTAATATTTTTTTCAGAAACGAACATTTTGTCAGTCGTGGTGCATTTTTATAGAAATTTAATTGAAGGGGGTGGCCATTATGCCATTCTTGCGAGATCTATACAGGGTGAGTCATTGAAATTGGAAAGTATAAGTATAACGTATTCGCTGTTTGAGATAGACGAAAAACAAATTTTGTGATGGTCTAGGCTCATGAGCATTTCCAAAATATTTCGCGTTAGACAGGGTGACTCCAAATTAAATATCAGTAGATAGTGGATCAAAAGTTAACATGGGGACATGTGAGCCGTTCTGAAAAATCTCGATTTTACCTTTGTAATCAGTCCCGCTAGATCCAGAATGTGATGTATTGATGGAATCAGGTCACAAAGAAGAATCCGAAAATGCAATAAAATACAGGGTGTCCTATAAAAAAAAGTATAACTTTGATACACCGCGCATATTTGAGTCACCCTGTATACGCAAAGTAATTTAGAAATATGTTGCTCCTGAGCCTAGACCATCACTAAAATTTTTATTCGTCTATCTCAAACAGCGAAGCCGTTATCTCACTTTCCCATTTCAATGACTCACCCTGTATAGTTGTATAGATGTATATTGTTCATAATGCTTCTGTTCGAAATATTTCGCCTCATTCTAAATTATCGGAAAATAAATAATGGATATGAATTGGGGTAGGTAAGATGTTATATATTTTTTACTGAACTCACACTGTTTCTATGTGAAAATAATGATTCATTTTTACGTATGCAAGTTGAAGTTTTGAGGTGTCTCTAAATTGAAAATCCTCTATAAAAATTATGTGAAAATCTGTTGGATATTGGGTTTCGAAGACTACTATGTGTGGTTATTGATCAAAATGAGGCGATTGTAACTTTACTATTGATTAGCAGTTTATAATAATGCATATAACTAGTGAATTTTTATATAATGATACCCAGGTCATCAGTTTCCACCTTTTTCAACCATGTATCATTATGGCATATGTTATTAAATTCATTATACAACGAACTGTTGGTTACTTCACGGAGTACAGTTTAGAAAGTTCTGTTGAATCCTTGCTAGTGAAAGTGAAGAATCGCCTGTATATCTTTTATTCATCAATATAGTATTCCGCTGAAAGATCGGGCATTGTGCGACTCCGTTTGATTTTTCGGAAAGGAAAATGGAAAATCATAGTTCGAAGGATGTGGACATCCTGAGAGAGTGGTTGTCCAAACAACCGCACCTGCCAAAGAAAATTGGTACGTTATAAATTTGTATGTCAACATCACCAGGGTCATTTTTAGTCAAGTTATACCTATTTAAATATGAATTTATTTTGACAATTATTATATTATTTGGGTAAAAAAAACTGATTGTTGTACATGATGAGGTTATATGAATAATAAGAACAAGCTTACAATTATTTTGGTCAATGAATTTTCCAAAATAATCAAACCCTGATAGATTTATTTGGAAGTTCATTAAACATCCTGGAAACACAAACAAATTGGCATTTTTACCCAACAAACCACAAAAATATCCAGAAAGATCTGAAAATATCCACGTATTCGGCAACTAAAAGTTCATCAGTATAGGTTTATAAAGAAAGGACCTACTGAAGATGATGATTTTCAGTTCGGAAACGAGACATTTTTGAATAATTTGGGAGATGAATGATATTGAAAAGAAATATTCTCAGATATATTTATGAACACAAAAAAATGGATATTTATATAAATAAATACATTGAGAATTCGCATTCTCCATGTGATGAAAATATTTATTCTTTCTTGGTTTATTCAACAGAAAACAACTACTTTCCTGGCTATATGCTACGACGAATATTGAATTGTGATTTTCATAGACCTCAATCGCAGATTCGTGATTAGGTTTTATCAATTCAGAATTTCTTTCCACGTCCTGTATGATGAAAATCAATTCATAATACATCCAAAAAGATATGAATGATATTTTTTACTATTTGTGTATGAAGCCATACTTACACAGTCTCATAAAATCCTAAGCAGCTAAATCCTTTTCGACAAAATCCAAAAACGCGTTAGTCTCCCTAACAACACAATTTTTGACTAAAAAAAAATGTAAATCCTTCAATCTCCTGAGTTTTCAGGTGTCATCGCCCAAGTTTTTTTCGAATGAGAGTGGGGTCAATGAATGATCACTAACGGTTCAGAAACTTTTTTGGAAATTAATATGTGAATCCTTTATTTTTAGGAAACTTCAACACCCTATATCTGAGAAACCAATCGTTTTCAGACATATGTTTATATGAACTTTTTTTCATAATTCGACCCAAAAAATATGAGATCGAAGTATTGTATCAATGTCACGTACATGTACAGTCATCTTCAGAAAAAATGTCGCACATGGACGATGATAGCATTCTTAATAACTCATGCAGTAAGAGCGCTGACACCGTCCAACCGCGACATGATCTCTGAAGACGACTGTACATGTCAAAATTTTTGAAATTCTACGTATTCGGCAACTATAAGTTGCCATTACGTCATCAGTAAGTTTATAAAGAAAGGTCCTACTGAAGATGATGATGACTTTTAATTCGGAAACGAGACATTTTTGAATAATTTGGGAGATGAATGATATTTTTTACCATTTGTGTATGAAGCCATACTTGCACAGTCTCATAAAATCCTAAGCAGCCAAATCCTTTTCAACAAAATCCAAAAACGCTTTAATCTCCCTATCCCTAACAACCCAATTTTTGACTGAAAAAGAATAGAAAATCATTCAATCTCCTGAGTTTTTAGGTGTCATAGTTTTTTTTCGAACGGGAATGGGGGTCAATAAATAATCACTATCCGACATCTGTTCAGGAATTTTTTAGAAATTAATGTGAATCCTTTATTTTTGAGAAACTTCAACACCCTGTATCTCAGAAACGAATCGTTTTCAGACATATGTTTATATGAAGTTTTTTTCATAATTCGATACAAAAAATATGACCTCGAAGATTCGTGCAATATCAATATCACGTACATGTACAGGGTGTCCCAAATTGTTTGATTTTGACAGTTTTTCCTTTTTCCAGAACAGCTAGAGGAAATCTGACCAAAGCAGGGTCTAGAGCTTGATTTTTGTATTGGTGAAAACCGCATTTCGATATTTCTAACAGTTTTCGAGATGTAGGCGAAAATTTACATTTGTCCGACTTCGAAAATATGCCATAATATTTTCATTTTTGAATATATTTCTGAACAGAAAAAGTTTTTTACAGGCACTTTTTAACATAGAATGAGATACATCTGCCAGAAAAATATATCGTGTATCAATTGTTTGTTCTGACAAAATCAAGCAATTTGGGACATCCTGTACATGTCAGAATTTCTGAAATTTTCTTTTGTTCTTACATTTTCAGATGACATCCTACTCAGAAGATTCCTTAGCGCAGCCGAAAATAGTATCGAGAGAGCGAAATACTTGATCGACTTATTTTTCACTATTCGATCGCAAAGCCCCGAGATATTTTCGGACAGAGACCCCAACCAAGCGGGGATACGGGCGATTTTCCAAATTATGTAAGAGCATTACGAAGAATTTTCATTTGCTACAAAAAAACATGCTTTTCTTCATTTTCAACACGTTTGTAGGTTTGTATGTAACGCGAAGTCTACGAACGTCATTTTGATCAACTTCAAAACGTGGAATGAAATTGAAATTTCCCATACTTATCAAGAATCGATGGCAATAGCGTAATTTAATAGTTGTGTTCCATCATCCTGATCAGGATCTTCAGAATGAACGACTTTTTCTCTCTGAAAAAAAAAATGGCGAATAAAGTTCCGCCACCAAAATTTCAAAATGTTCCGTCACCAAAATTTCAAATGTACGTTTTTATCAATTCGAATAACTTTTTACAATGCTTTTTTATACAGGGTGTCCAGAATTATGCGTCCATAATCAAGGGGATGAAATAAGAAATTTATTTTTTATGTACGTGGATCAGGAAATGCATATTTTTCAACATACAGTGTGTTGAACTTAACAAAAAACGTTTTTACAATATCCTGAATGTTCTTCCACCGATTTTCTTGAAATTGGACAATGATATTTTTTGTCCTGAGGGGCTGATATAAGTAGCCATAATTCAATTGGAATTATAAAATCCAGTGGCGTCCCGGGGGGCACGCTACCGAATATTATTGTCTATAAAATGTGTGTCACTGATTTTTTTTAAATTATGTTTCTTCATAAATTTTTTGTATCAAGCTAAGCATATTTTTACTTTAGAACTATATTTTTTGACGTTTGTTGAAAAAATGTTATTTGCAACTCGAGCGCGAAATACTTTGGTCATCTCGACTATTTTTTTAACTCGGCGACGCCTCGTTAAAAAAATCAGATCTTGATCAGCAAAGTAGCATTTTGCACTCTAGATACAAAAATAACTATTTTATTCCATTTTATTTTATTAATTCATCCTTTTTTTTTTTCATTCTTTATTATTCATATTTCCTATTTATATTTTCCTTTATTATAAAGGTCTTTACAAAAACATACCACATATTCCCACATATTACCTCAGTATAAAGTTACATCGTTTGGGCTCCAGAGGGCCTTGAAGTTACAATTTTTAAATCGTTTTTCCCATATAAATTTAAAACGGCATATGCGATTTTGCTGAAATTTGGTATATTGCGAGGTATATTGATAGAGTTTTATGTGGCAAAAAAAATGGTGTCAACATTTTGTCCGATAATGATACATAGGCGTAGAACTTGATTTTTTAAATAATTGCACCTTTAAAAATTCTACGCCAATGAAAGAAAAGGAGTTTGAGTATGAAATTTAGATTGCGCAACTCATTTACTTCAAAAAAGGTACTCTTGATAAGACTCGATTGCTCTCATGGTTTTGACGAAATTTGCATTTTAGTAATTTTAGAACATAAACAATAATTATTAAAATACAAACTTTGTCAAAACCATGAGAGTAAATCGAGTGTTATCAAGAGTACTTTTTTGTAGTAAATGAGTACCCAATCCAAATTTCATACTCAAACCCCTTTTCTACCATTGGCGTAGAATTTTTAAAGGTGCAATTATTTAAAAAATCAAGTTCTACGCCTATGTATTATTATCGGACAAAATTTTATACGATGAAAAACATAAAAATGTACTTTTTTCATATCTTCTTCAACACCTCTAATCGAGACTTTTAACAAAAATACTCGATTCTTGCCATGTACGATTTTTGTGAAACCTATACACTCTAAATTATTAAAACAGAAATTTAACGAAAACCATGAGATTAATCGAGTCTTATGAAGAGTACCTTTTTTAAAGTAAATGAGTTGCGCAATCTAAATTTCATACTCAAAACTCCTTTTATTCCATTGGCGTAGAATTGTTGAAGGTGCAATTATTAAGAAAAATCAAGTTCTACGCCTATGGATTAATATCGGACAAAAATTTATCATCATTTTTTTGTTACATCAAACTCAATCAATATACCAAATTTCAGCAAAATGGCGAATGCCGTTTCAAATTTATATGGGAAAAACGATTTAAAAATTGTAACTTCAAGGCCCTCTGGAGCCTAAATGATGCAACTTTGTACTGAGATAATTTCACTTAAATCGACTTATTTTGGTCTAAGGAACATGTGGTATGTTTGTGTAAAGACCTTTTACAGACACCCTGTATAGCTGATTTATATCCATTTCCTTAGATTCTTTGTATTCGCGATAGAAAATAAGCGTACGCCACCTATCGGAGTTCTTGAATGCTGTCAAAGCGGCCTGTTTACTTTGTTTTCATTGGTTCACATTTGTTAATTTGTTTGTGCTTATTGGTCACATCATGAAAACAAACCACTAAGAAGTGTTCAAGTTGTTGCCGTCAGGTGGAGCGACGTGTTATTTTTTATCGCGATCTGTGTAGGATATAAATAATGATAAATATGAATTTGTTATAATTTCAAAAACAAAAGGTACTATTCATTTCTTCAGTGATTACCTGATGCTGCCCAAGCGAGTTCGAAACAATAACGTGTTCCTCTATCGCATCACTTCGAGCAACGTGGACGACTACGATTTCGCGAATGCCGTCAAAGCGTTTTTCATCGTCGCAGATGCCAGGATGATCGAAGAGGAGAACATTCCCGATGGGGAAATACCGATGTTCGATATGAAGAATTTCTCCGCCAGACATTTGACCAGAATCGTCTTTCCCATTTTGAGGAAATACATGATGTATACACAGGTAAAAATAATTTATATCTAATATACAGGGTGGGCCACCAGTAACGCCTCGGTCTCTAGAAGGCTAACCACTCATCTTCTTAGACTTCTTCCTATCTAGGAATTTGATGGCAAATCTAATATGGCGGACGAGTTAAGTAATCCGATTTCATTTAAAATTGGTATCTGGAGGTTTTCGGGGTCGGCGATTATGATTCTTGCGTCAAAATTTGTAAATTCAAGATGGCCGATCCAATATGGCGAACGAGTTTTGTAATTATGGTCCAATTCTATTCAATATTGATATCTGCGGGACTGGGGGTTTTCGTGGTCGGAGATTATGATGCCTTTGTCAAAATTAGGAAATTCAAAATGGCGGATTCAATATGGTGGATGAGTTTTTTAAATTATGAATTATGATCCGATTCTATCCGAAATTGTTACCTGGGGGCTTTCGGAGTTGGATATCCTAATTCTTTCGTCAGAATGAGGAAATTCAGAATGGCGGAACCAATATGCCGGACGAGTATTTTTATTATGATCCGATTCTACTCAAAATTGGTATTTGAGGGTTTTCGGAGTCGGATATTATGATTATAAATAATAAATACGCTTTTATTCACACAAATAAAAATATAAAAATAAAAACATGAAGATGTAGAGATACTGAATACAATATTACAGAATACGAATAGAAGATACAAATTTACAAAATACAAAAATACATCTATCACATTAATTGTGAAACAAAGCAAAATCCGATAAGTGTATACACACTTGTTTCGGTATGACAAATTGTGAATAAGGAATATTTTAATAACAAAATGTATAAAATGAGTAAAAATTATCGATAGGTATATAAATAATATAGAGAGTATATTTAAAAATCTAGGTTTAGATTTAAACATAGCGACGTAAAATTCTTTCTTTTTTCAATTAGGTATCGAAATATGATTATGATTCCCCAAATTTCATAGTTGGCTTTATCCCGAACCGTTGATTGATATAAACTGGGCGTCAATTGAAACGTTAATAGTGAAATCTGGCATCAAGTTTGACTTCTCGTAATTTCTAAAATATTGAACGAATTTTGAATTGCCGCCCAGATTCTGAATGCCTTTTTCATCGTCTTTCGAACCGTTCCTTACAGCTTCTTCTAAATTGATCAGGATCCATGATACAGGGATCCCCGCTCCCCCATTTTGTTGGAAGACCACGATGCTCATATTTTATTCAGGCATTTCATAAATAGCAACCATACTTCGGGACGTTTTCGAGTTTTTGCCAAAAATCACTGTGGTTTCCGAAAAAAACATTTTTTTTGCATTTTTTTTTAAATGGACTAATTTTAGAGAATTCGCTATTAGATAAATTTTCTAGCGATTCGATTTGTGATTTCAGGAAGCACATCCGGTGAGGTTGAAGGAAATCCATCTACTGAATGTTCCCTCTTTCTTGGACCGCGTTATGGCTCTCATAAGACCTTTCCTGAAGGCGGAAGTTGCAAAAATGGTAAATCAACATACGTAATACATTTATGGGTTTTTTTCACTTAAAACTCCGCACGCCAATATCTCGAAAACGAATGAAAATATTCCACATTTCTGTAAAAAGTAGTCAATGGATGGTAGTTTTTCATCGAAGTTTCGCCTAATAGGAGCTGAGCGTCATCCATTGACAACTTTTACAGAAATTGAATATTTCTATTCGTTGTCGAGATATTGGCGTGCGGAGTTATAAATGAGAAACCCTGTATATGGGGTGTTTCAGATATAGAGATTGTGTTTCTATTCTAAAATTATTGAACGATCAAAATACTCATTGTAATATATGTACAGTTGCATTCAAAAAAAAGCGTACAAGTATATTACAGAGAGAAATTAACGGCATCCTATTCTGTATAAAACGGGCTATCGGGAATGATTGTTCACCAAATGTTGACAGTAAACTTGTCATAGGTTCTCGAAAACACAAAGCATTGGCTGAGCCAGTTTTACACAACTAGAATTAGAATCCCGAAATCCTCTCTTTTTAATACTTGTACGCTTTTTTTTTGAATACGACTGTACCTATATTCCAATTGAAATTGAAAACATGTCGCTAGTTCTGATATATGTGGCAACACTGTATTGATAAAGTAATTTAAGCGAGTTGATTATGTAATATTAATAACGCATATCAATTTTCAAAACGATCTGTCTTGTCTTTCCTCAGACACTTTCTAATATATTCCATCATCCATCTTGAATCACCCTGTATATGTGGGTGTTGTATGAGTACGTATTTCGATTGCAGAAAAAATAACATGTTTTATTCGGATCAAAAATGACTCTGTTTGACTCGCAAAATTCGCTTGTCAAACAAAGTGTCACATTTGACATTTTTACGACGCGTCTGAACTGCCATCCTAAAAAAACTTGTTTTCTCACGAACAACTGTAAATTAGCACTAATTTACAGTTGCAACTGTAAATTAGATTTAGAGTACTTTTTTTTACACATCTCCTAATTTTCAGTTGCAACTGTAAATTAGTGCTAATTTACAGTTGCAACTGTATGTTAGTGCTAATTTACGGTTGCAACTGAAAATTAGGAGATGTGTAAAAAAGTACTCTAAATCTTAATTTACAGTTGCAACTGTAATTTAGTGCTATTTCACAGTTGCAACTGTAAATTGGTGCTAATTTACAGTTGCAACTATAAATTAGATTTAGAGTACTTTTTTTACACATCTAATTTTCAGTTGCAACTGTAAATTAGCACTAATTTACAGTTGCAACTATAAATTAGATTTAGAGTACTTTTTTTTTACAAATCTCCTAATTTTCAGTTACAACTGTGAATTAGAGTCTCACAGTATGGTGAGAAATTGTGAGAACTGAGACTGTGAGACTCTAATTTTCAGTTGCAACTGTAAATTAGCACTAATTTACAGTTGCAACTGTAAATTAAGATTTAGAGTACTTTTTTACACATCTCCTAATTTTCAGTTGCAACTGTAAATTAGTGCTAATTCACAGTTGCAACTGTATGTTAGTGCTAATTTACGGTTGCAACTGAAAATTAGGAGATGTGTAAAAAAAAGTACTCTAAATCTAATTTATAGTTGCAACTATAAATTAGTGCTATTTCACAGTTGCAACTGTAAATTGGTGCTAATTTACAGTTGCAACTATAAATTAGATTTAGAGTACTTTTTTTACACATCTAATTTTCAGTTGCAACTGTAAATTAGCACTAATTTACAGTTGCAACTATAAATTAGATTTAGAGTACTTTTTTTTTACAAATCTCCTAATTTTCAGTTACAACTGTGAATTAGAGTCTCACAGTATGGTGAGAAATTGTGAGAACTGAGACTGTGAGACTCTAATTTTCAGTTGCAACTGTAAATTAGCACTAATTTACAGTTGCAACTGTAAATTAAGATTTAGAGTACTTTTTTACACATCTCCTAATTTTCAGTTGCAACTGTAAATTAGCACTAACATACAGTTGCAACTGTAAATTAGTGCTAATTTACAGTTGCAACTATAAATTAGATTTAGAGTACTTTTTTACACATCTCCTAATTTTCAGTTGCATCTGTGAATTAGAGCTGATACTGATGTGAGACTCTAATTTACAGTTGCAACTGTAAATTAGTGCCAATTTACAGTTGCAACTGTAAATTAGGCGATATTTAGAAAAAATAAGTTTCTTCTGCCTAATTCACAGTTGCAACTGTAAATTAGGCAAATGTTCTTGAAAAAATGAAGTTTTTTCAGGATGGCAGTTCAGACGCGTCGTACATTTGATCCTAATAAAACAACGTACTATTATTCGTACTTCAGGAATGCGCTCTGTATATTATCTATGTGTTTATTTGTTTGTAGCTCCACTTCCACCTGCCGAACTCCGCCACTCTGTTCGAGTTTATACCGAAAGAAGTGCTCCCGGAAGAATACGGAGGGACGGCGGGCAATTGCAAAGACATCAAGAAGCACTGGATGGACGTGGTGACGAAGAGGAGGGAATATTTGCTCGACGAATCAAGATGGGCGGTGGACGAGAACAAACGACCCGATAACAACAAGAGCAAGGAGCTGTTCAGCGTCCAAGGATCGTTTAAGTCGTTGTGTATTGATTGAAATTTGATGTATTTTTTAGTGTAATAAACTGTTTCTTCTTTGATGATTGGTATTATTTCATATTAAAAAGTTTTTCATTTGCCGAGTTGATCTGCTCCCTTCGGAGGATGACAACTGGGCGATTGAAAGACGTTTTAATCCTCGAGGATGGAATAGATTAAAATGTTCCTGATGGGCAGAGTAGATTCGCTCCCTTTGAGGGAGATGCCAACTCGGCTATTTTTGTGGATATTTTGAATCCTGAGGCTTGAATTTCGGTGTTTTCGTGATCGGAAAGTGAATTATGGTTCTAATTAATGAAAATAAATACCTCCTACACACTTCTGCTCTCCTGATACCTACATTCAGATTTTTCCTTAAAATTCAGTGTTTTCGAGATCGCAAAGCAAATTTCGGTTCTGATTAATGAAAATGAATACCTCCTACACACTTCTGCTCTCCTGATACCTACATTCAGATTTTGCCTTAAAATTCGGTGTTTTCGTGATCGGAAAGTGAATTTTGGTTCTGATGAATGAAAATAAATACCTCCTACACACTCCTGCTCTCCTGATACCTACATTCAGATTTTGCCTTAAAATTCGGTGTTTTCGTGATCGGAAAGTGAATTTCGGTTCTAATTAATGAAAATGAATACCTCCTACACACTTCTGCTCTCCTGATACCTACATTCAGATTTTGACTAAAAATTTGGCGTTTTCGTGATCTGAAAGCAAATTTCTGTTCTGAATAATAAAAACGAATACCTCCTACACACTCCTGCTCTCCTGATACCTACATTCAGATTTTGAATAAAAATTTGGCGTTTTCGTGATCTGAAAGCAAATTTCTGTTCTGAATAATAAAAACGAATACCTCCTACACACTCCTGCTCTCCTGATTCCTACATTCAGATTTTGCCTTAAAATTCGGTGTTTTCGTGATCGGAAAGTGAATTTTGGTTCTGATGAATGAAAAACAAATACCTCCTACACACTCCTGCTCTCCTGATACCTACATTCAGATTTTGACTAAAAATTTGGCGTTTTCGTGATCTGAAAGCAAATTTCTGTTCTGAATAATAAAAACGAATACCTCCTACACACTCCTGCTCTCCTGATACCTACATTCAGATTTTGACTAAAAATTTGGCGTTTTCGTGATCTGAAAGCAAATTTCTGTTCTGAATAATAAAAACGAATACCTCCTACACACTCCTGCTCTCCTGATACCTACATTCAGATTTTGAATAAAAATTTGGCGTTTTCGTGATCTGAAAGCAAATTTCTGTTCTGAATAATAAAAACGAATACCTCCTACACACTCCTGCTCTCCTGATACCTACATTCAGATTTTGACTAAAAATTTGGCGTTTTCGTGATCTGAAAGCAAATTTCTGTTCTGAATAATAAAAACGAATACCTCCTACACACTCCTGCTCTCCTGATACCTACATTCAGATTTTGACTAAAAATTTGGCGTTTTCGTGATCTGAAAGCAAATTTCTGTTCTGAATAATAAAAACGAATACCTCCTACACACTCCTGCTCTCCTGATACCTACATTCAGATTTTGAATAAAAATTTGGCGTTTTCGTGATCTGAAAGCAAATTTCTGTTCTGAATAATAAAAACGAATACCTCCTACACACTCCTGCTCTCCTGATACCTACATTCAGATTTTGAATAAAAATTTGGCGTTTTCGTGATCTGAAAGCAAATTTCTGTTCTGAATAATAAAAACGAATACCTCCTACACACTTCTGCTCTCCTGATACCTACATTCAGATTTTGCCTTAAAATTCGGTGTTTTCGAGATCGCAAAGCAAATTTCGGTTCTGATTAATGAAAATGAATACCTCCTACACACTTCTGCTCTCCTGATTCCTACATTCAGATTTTGCCTTAAAATTTGGTGTTTTCGTGATCGGAAAGTGAATTTTGGTTCTGATGAATGAAAAACAAATACCTCCTACACACTCCTGCTCTCCTGATTCCTACATTCAGATTTTGCCTTAAAATTCGGTGTTTTCGAGATCGCAAAGCAAATTTCGGTTCTGATTAATGAAAATGAATACCTCCTACACACTTCTGCTCTCCTGATTCCTACATTCAGATTTTGCCTTAAAATTTGGTGTTTTCGTGATCGGAAAGTGAATTTTGGTTCTGATGAATGAAAAACAAATACCTCCTACACACTCCTGCTCTCCTGATACCTACATTCAGATTTTGAATAAAAATTTGGCGTTTTCGTGATCTGAAAGCAAATTTCTGTTCTGAATAATAAAAACGAATACCTCCTACACACTCCTGCTCTCCTGATACCTACATTCAGATTTTGAATAAAAATTTGGCGTTTTCGTGATCTGAAAGCAAATTTCTGTTCTGAATAATAAAAACGAATACCTCCTACACACTCCTGCTCTCCTGATACCTACATTCAGATTTTGAATAAAAATTTGGCGTTTTCGTGATCTGAAAGCAAATTTCTGTTCTGAATAATAAAAACGAATACCTCCTATACACTTCTGCTCTCCTGATACCTACATTCAGATTTTGACTAAAAATTTGGTGTTTTCGTGATCGGAAAGTGAGTTTCGGTTCTGATGAATGAAAACAAATACCTCCTATACACTTCTGCTCTCCTGATACCTACATTCAGATTTTGAATAAAAATTTGGCGTTTTCGTGATCTGAAAGCAAATTTCTGTTCTGAATAATAAAAACGAATACCTCCTACACACTTCTGCTCTCCTGATACCTACATTCAGATTTTGCCTTAAAATTCGGTGTTTTCGAGATCGCAAAGCAAATTTCGGTTCTGATTAATGAAAATGAATACCTCCTACACACTTCTGCTCTCCTGATTCCTACATTCAGATTTTGCCTTAAAATTTGGTGTTTTCGTGATCGGAAAGTGAATTTTGGTTCTGATGAATGAAAAACAAATACCTCCTACACACTCCTGCTCTCCTGATTCCTACATTCAGATTTTGCCTTAAAATTCGGTGTTTTCGAGATCGCAAAGCAAATTTCGGTTCTGATTAATGAAAATGAATACCTCCTACACACTTCTGCTCTCCTGATTCCTACATTCAGATTTTGCCTTAAAATTTGGTGTTTTCGTGATCGGAAAGTGAATTTTGGTTCTGATGAATGAAAAACAAATACCTCCTACACACTCCTGCTCTCCTGATACCTACATTCAGATTTTGAATAAAAATTTGGCGTTTTCGTGATCTGAAAGCAAATTTCTGTTCTGAATAATAAAAACGAATACCTCCTACACACTCCTGCTCTCCTGATACCTACATTCAGATTTTGAATAAAAATTTGGCGTTTTCGTGATCTGAAAGCAAATTTCTGTTCTGAATAATAAAAACGAATACCTCCTACACACTCCTGCTCTCCTGATACCTACATTCAGATTTTGAATAAAAATTTGGCGTTTTCGTGATCTGAAAGCAAATTTCTGTTCTGAATAATAAAAACGAATACCTCCTACACACTTCTGCTCTCCTGATACCTACATTCAGATTTTGACTAAAAATTTGGCGTTTTCGTGATCTGAAAGCAAATTTCTGTTCTGAATAATAAAAACGAATACCTCCTACACACTCCTGCTCTCCTGATACCTACATTCAGATTTTGAATAAAAATTTGGCGTTTTCGTGATCTGAAAGCAAATTTCTGTTCTGAATAATAAAAACGAATACCTCCTACACACTTCTGCTCTCCTGATTCCTACATTCAGATTTTGCCTTAAAATTCGGTCTTTTCGAGATCGCAAAGCAAATTTCGGTTCTGATTAATGAAAATGAATACCTCCTACACACTCCTGCTCTCCTGATACCTACATTCAGATTTTGAATAAAAATTTGGCGTTTTCGTGATCTGAAAGCAAATTTCTGTTCTGAATAATAAAAACGAATACCTCCTACACACTCCTGCTCTCCTGATACCTACATTCAGATTTTGAATAAAAATTCGGCGTTTTCGTGATCGCAAAGCAAATTTCTGTTCTGAATAATAAAAACGAATACCTCCTATACACTTCTGCTCTCCTGATACCTACATTCAGATTTTGCCTTAAAATTTGGTGTTTTCGTGATCGGAAATTGAATTTTGGTTCTGATGAATGAAAAACAAATACCTCCTACACACTCCTGCTCTCCTGATACCTACTTTCAGATTTTGAATAAAAATTTGGCGTTTTCGTGATCTAAAAGCAAATTTCTGTTCTGAATAATAAAAACGAATACCTCCTACACACTTCTGCTCTCCTGATACCTACATTCAGATTTTGCCTTAAAATTCGGTGTTTTCGAGATCGCAAAGCAAATTTCGGTTCTGATTAATGAAAATGAATACCTCCTACACACTTCTGCTCTCCTGATTCCTACATTCAGATTTTGCCTTAAAATTTGGTGTTTTCGTGATCGGAAAGTGAATTTTGGTTCTGATGAATGAAAAACAAATACCTCCTACACACTCCTGCTCTCCTGATTCCTACATTCAGATTTTGCCTTAAAATTCGGTGTTTTCGAGATCGCAAAGCAAATTTCGGTTCTGATTAATGAAAATGAATACCTCCTACACACTTCTGCTCTCCTGATTCCTACATTCAGATTTTGCCTTAAAATTTGGTGTTTTCGTGATCGGAAAGTGAATTTTGGTTCTGATGAATGAAAAACAAATACCTCCTACACACTCCTGCTCTCCTGATACCTACATTCAGATTTTGAATAAAAATTTGGCGTTTTCGTGATCTGAAAGCAAATTTCTGTTCTGAATAATAAAAACGAATACCTCCTACACACTCCTGCTCTCCTGATACCTACATTCAGATTTTGAATAAAAATTTGGCGTTTTCGTGATCTGAAAGCAAATTTCTGTTCTGAATAATAAAAACGAATACCTCCTACACACTCCTGCTCTCCTGATACCTACATTCAGATTTTGAATAAAAATTTGGCGTTTTCGTGATCTGAAAGCAAATTTCTGTTCTGAATAATAAAAACGAATACCTCCTACACACTCCTGCTCTCCTGATACCTACATTC